ACGGATATGCGGTCGATGCGATGCCCACGCCGGAATGGCTTGTCATCACAGACGGACAACAGCCCGGACATTGGCGGCTACTCCACAATAGCACCGGCCGTGGCGAACGGTGCAGTGTAGGATGCTCCCAACGGTACCAACCAACTTTGAACACTGTGGAACAGCGTAAGGCACAGGATTACACCTTTGAAGCTTTGCATCGTATTTACTTTTATGATGCGTGGAGGACACAGCCGGTCCTCGGCGCCCCAGAGTCCGACCTAGTCCTGCCGCCGCAACCTGGCCTCTTGACACAGGGCTGCTATTGGCCGCAGCGGAGTGCATCGGACGAGGTTCTCTCCGTCTCGGACATTGCCACCGAGGCAGATGCTCAAGCCTGCCAAACTCCGACCTCGCCTGAGACAGCTGATGCCGTCATGACAGATGAGGAGGCGAACGATATCGTCTCTGTCCTCAGCTCCCCCTCGGAGTCGTCCACTCTGCCCTGGCAATATACTCGCCCCCCAAGCACAATTGCGGCCCCGTGTGTTTCAAGGATGCACGGCCCTACAGCGCCTCGACTTGGGTAAGGAAGGGCGCGGTCCTACATATCTGAACCGAAGTCTGCCTGACTGCTGCTTCCTGGAAGCAGGCATCGTCGCACTCTATCTGCCGTCAGATTTTAACAGGATAGGGACGGCCGCGTGCGTGAGCTGCCAGCAGCTGCAAACTGTGGATTTGTCCCAAACGCGTGTCAGTGAACTTTTGGGCTCAACTTTCGCGCACTGCTCACAGCTACAACAACTCAGTCTTCCCCAAGATTTACGAACCATTGAGCAAGAAGCCTTTCTCAAATGTACCTCGCTGCAAGAAGTCTGCATCCCATCATCCCTACTTTACATCGCGAGGCGTGCTTTTGCAGGTTGCACGCAGCTTCGGACAGTTCGTAAAAAAGGGAAAAGCACAACATGGCGAGGTACCTACGCCCGGGGCAATGCTTTTGACAAATGCGAGCAATTGGACAAGCCCCAATGGCTCCGATTCTTGCCGTCAAATACCAACGACCAATGGAGGGAAGACTTCCACGAAGCCATACTCTAGACTGGCAACGCTCTGACGACAGTGGGGATGGACTGCTATTCTGCTGTCTCGATTTTGCGAGCCAGGCTTAAGAAAGCTCAGGCAAAGCCATCATTTCGGCCTCATTATCAATATTTCAGTGAGCCTGCAGGAATGAGAGCCTTAGCTTTCGCTCCTAAGAGGCGGGTGGTAGAGAATGGTAATGGAAGGTTGCCAGGGGGAACCTTAGTTCTCCTTGCAGCAGCCATGCCATGACCATTGCTGTACAAAGAGGCACAAGTACCATGCTAGGATAGGTCCACGTTTCACTGGTTTCACACGGGCCTTGCATGCAACAGAATGCTCGCATTTTAGCACCTCTCTTTCTTTCTGGAACAGAGAGTACCGCTTTGGCACTCCTTGAATGCCAAGGGGTGCAAAGGTGACCTCCCTTCGGGGGGGATGGCATCACCCTCGTCAGCAAGCTCCATTCGTTTGCCTCTGCCTCCACTGTCTGACCATCGATATGCCTCTCGTCTCGTTCGTGCAATCAGTTGAAGGGGTTGTGCAACGAGATGGGCCTTTTCCACGGCTTTTTTGGCAGAGCAACAACTGATCTCCCTGGGCAAGGATCAGACCGGCTGACAACAAACAAAGCAGCTCCTGCAAAGCACCCAACTATCACTTTCGCCACACGATGCAGTGGCCCTCCTGGTCACAGTTTTGTGGGTGGGGCGAAATTGGCTCCGCTGCACTCCGCTCTTGCGCTGACCTTGCCGACCGACTTTCGTAGTGAATTCAGGCCCATAGTTAGTACACAGTTAGGTTTTGCTATTTCAATTGTCTCACCCTCGTACAGAGGAAGCACTTTTAGATGAGGGGGAACCGGCCTTTGGCCCTTGGTGGTGTTTTGGTTTCTTGGTTTTGGTTTCTTGTTTGGTGGGTTTTTGTTTGGTTTTGGGGTTGCTTGTGTTCTTTTCCCCCTCATCATGATGTGTTTCCTTCCCCTTCAATGGTGACCTGGGCACTCCGCCCACACGGCGTCCGCACTCGTGGAAAAAAAACCGGAGGGACAAGGATGCTTCTCCTTCCGGCAAAGCCTCTTGCTCAGAGCCAAAGGACACTTATGCTGCACGATGTAATGCGATCGAGGCTAAAGCGCTGATGAAGCAGTGAAATTCCAAAGCTAGACCGGCATTTTGCACGTTCTGGATCAATTTCATTTGGAGCCTCTAAATGACTACCAAGATCCACAGACTTTCTTTCACCGTCCAGTCCCTTGACGGAATGGAACGACCATCCGCAAGAAGTCGCTTTTTCGAAGTGGCAACACCTGCTCACGAAATCACATGCTGAGTGGTGACTTCCTGTTCTGAATTTGCAATTGTTGCGGGATGAAAGGGTTCCTGCAGTTTGAACGGGGCTGAGAGGGGGGCAGAAGGAGGGGTGGCTTCAGGGAAGGCTTTGGGAAAGGCCAAGAAAGGCTTGATGGTGGTTTGAAGAAGAGTTTGAGAGGAGGCTTGCTTTGGTACTTTGGCCGGGAAAGGCAAGGGGACTTTGTCGGAGATTTTGGAGGGCTTAAGCCCTCGAAGTGGGGCTCAAGCACCCCTTTGAAGTTTGGAGAAGACAGAAGAGATGCACGGAATCCAGTCAGCCTCTTTTCTTCCTGTCGTTAGTCAGGTGGGTCTTGTGGATCTTGAGGCCTTTATGTCTTGTTTCCTTTGTTGGCAGGTGCACATGTTGACCCGAGAGGTTTGGGTGATGGACAGGAGGATTGCCTTCACAAGAGGTCCGGAAGAGACACGTGAGTTGCCAGAAGGGTTTGGCCTCCAGGAAAGTTTCTTCCCTTTGTGGAGGATGAGATGGACACGGAGATTCCACCACCTCCGCCACCGGTTGACGTCGAAATGTTTCCTGCCGGAGACGAAGTTAAGCCTGTGCCCATGACCAGAAGACGATCATGTTGAAGAAGAGGAACTCGAAGGTGATCAATGGCTCAACAACCTTTTGTATGAGACCCAGGCTGAAACATGGAACATGTTTTTGAGCCGTTCGGTGGCATCTGACAAGGTGCTCGAGGGCCCAGGTGCTTTTCAAGTCTTTTTCGGAAGTAAGACACTTGACACTTTTGTTCCTCATGTGGATGAGTTGACAGGTCAGGTCCACTCGCACATTCAATGCAGTCCGGGTTCGTGCGGACAGTGCCCTCGCAAGACATGGCCTCGCAAGACATGGCGTCGCAGCCTATCCATTCTCTGGACAGCGCTCATTGTCTCATTGTGACAAGACCATCCTGCATGCGGTCCTCCTGATCGCCGAAGGTCCAGGGTCCAGCCTCGTCTGCACCAAAGTTAGACCAACCACAGCTTGCGCCAACCACAGTTTACACCAACCACGGCTTGTCCACACCAAACCACGACGGTCATGCCTTTTAGCAGGGCCATGCAGAAGAAAAACCAGCGCAAAAGCGGTGCAAAGCGAGCACAAGCATCAAAAAACTTGGGTTGCTGCTTCTGCTGCTTCTGGGTGGTCTGTTGTTGCTGGCTGCTGCTGCTGCTGCTGCTGCTGCTGCTGGGTGGTCTGCTCCTGCTGCTGCTCCTAGGTGGTCTGCTGCAGCCGGGTGTTCCACCCCAGAAGACACAAAGCCCCCCATACCATTGCTTCCTTCCTTCACCCCCTGCCGCCCTTCCCAGCCAAGGTGCCTCTTACTCATCGTCCTCATCATCTTCATCCTCTTCATCAGCCAATCCCAAAAAGCACTGTGGAGAAGATCTATCCCTATGGCCCTATGGTGGCTCTTACCTACTCACGAGGAAAGCTCGCCTCAGCTTGCTGGAGTCGCTCTTGCTTCGCAGTGGCTGGCTTTCATTCATCCCCCTGGCCTCAAGGTTTCATTCATGTCATTGGCACAATCCAGGAAGTGTGTTGGGACTGTTTGACTTCACTTCATGTTATTTGCTATTTAGCAACGTTTTGAACTGTTTGAGTAATTCAGGTATCAATTCTTAACCATTCAGATGAAACGTCAGTGAGACACAATAACAGTCGATAATCGCCATGAAAATATGGTGTGCACACAATCATCACCGATTTGGGCCACATGAATTGAAAGATGAACCGGAGCTTGGGAGACACATGTGTCCCATGTCGTGGGACGAATGCATTTGATGAAAATCGCAGACCCCAAAACCACTACCCATGTGGGAGACACACTTATTTGATGAGAAGCGCTGAAAGTCCTAACAACATCATCAATGTTGGGAGACATGCGTGGGGAAGAGATGGTCGCCACATGTGGCTATGACATGCCAAAGAGGCGCATGAATAAACACCCTCAGCATGATTTCACTATGTTGTTTATGTTTGGACTTTTGCGTGGTTGTGTTATATGTTTTGGTTTTAAGTATCTTTAACGTGATGATGTTTATGTGTTTGTTGCATTCTCAAAAGAGGCGAGGCAACAACTGTGATCCGCAAGCTGGAGTGTAGGTTTACCAGGAATGTAATTTGTGAAAAATCAACGAACTTCCAGCAAAATGTGCAAAACACAAATCCATGCAATTGCGGCACACACACGCACAAAGAACAATAATCATTAACAAAAAAATATTGGTTCAATCCGGCATTTTTGACTCATTTTTGACGTGCAGTTGACTTCACATGCTTTCGTCTTTTTTTTGAATTTATATATGTTTTGTTTGTCCGTTTTCAGGTTTCTTTTCAATTCGGGTGTTTCACATCCAATCAGAGTGTGAACTTGTCACACTCACCTTTGGCAAAAAGATCGATTTGCCACATCATTGAACCATTGTGCTCGTACAGCAGATGACCTCAACAGTTCTTAGTTTTTTGTTGTCAATCCGACATTTGTTCGCAACAGGACAGCACGTTTGGACCCTCTTGATTCCCATTCTGTTTGTGTTTTTAAACTATTCCAAAGCAAGTGTCCACGGTTTCCACTCATGCAACAAAAGTTCCTGCTGCATCGATTTCTCAGCGAACTGGAATGGTTCATGCTGGTTCGTCAACAAAGGCACGCTTTGAGAATCAACGTTTCAATCAACGTCGTGAACTCCATACTTGTGCTTCCCAAAACTAAAAAACATAAGCTAATTCATATGCCTTTCGAAGGAAACGTTGCGGAATCAAATGTTGCAAGTTCCACGAAAGGTCAAATATTTTGTTATGCCAAACCCAGAGAGATGGAAGGTGGCCCCAAAAGTCTTTGGACAACTTGAAAGACTTTACAGGCCTGTGCTGTGGGTTTATCTTTTTCTTATTTTCTGCTAAACGCACTTGGTCAGATGCCATCGTGGCAAGCCGTCGTGGTGGCCGTTGGGATGAGATCAGAAGTTTGCTCAGTGCTCAGTCTTGGATTGAGTACCACATTCAGACGCCCTGAAAACTGGTGAATGATATCGATTGTCACACTAGTCCTCACATGTTGTGCTCATTGCTTTCAGTTCTCCATGGGCACCCCTCAGCGCAACACAAACTGGGCTGCTTTTAGCGAGACAAAAGGCGAAACAGGTCCAAACTTCTGTCATAGGCAGACTTCTTGTGCCATGTGCAAGGCAAAGGCAAATCAAGAGCTCGTCACTTCAGACAGATATCGCATGGAGCTCAGTTTGCTCCAAACTTCCAGTCAGAACAACGAGCCGTTTTGTGGTTGTTTCCGAGGTCATTTGCAGTGCAAGCCGCTTGGTGGGCATGTGCTGTCACATTGAAAAGATGAGACTCCAAACCGCTTGTGAAGTAGTCACTTTGACCGTGGCAATATTTCTGAAAACCTAAGCTGGCCGCACTAACCGAGCGGCTTCAGCTTGCAGGCATCAGTGCCGCTGCTGAGGCGGCAGACGCATGCCTTACGTCTAAAAGCGTTTCATGGTCTTGAGAGCATTTGGCAGGCATCGAAATGGCAATGGTCTGTGTGGCAATTAAAGAATCTGGAAGATGAAGGCAAGAGCCAGAACTGCCACAGCCCGAAGCCGCCTGGCAGTTTTGTGAGGTTTGCGAGCTGATTTAATTGCTTGCAGTGTCAGGATCTCAATGTTGTCAATGCCAATCTTCTAGAAAACAAAGATGTGTCCTTGAGGCTGTCATCAGTGCTTGTGAGAAGGTGGGAAATTGGCAAGGAGAGTGAGATATGGTAGCAGATGCTCCAAGTGACAAAAGAGAAAGGGTAATCATGCAGCAGCTCAACTCTTGAAGCAAATACAAAACACAACATCGCATTTCCTCTTGCAGCATCTTGCTGTATAGGAGCCACATTTTTGCTGAGCAGCATAGTATTGAGGCAGATCCAGCCCAATGCAGGGAGACTCAGCTGGATTGCTATTCTCCTCGGATACTGAGAGCGGTTTGTCTAGGCTATCGATCGTCGATCTTGCTCTTGAGGGAAGAAGCGCTTGGAATGAAGCGCCGCCTGAGTAACCACCTGTTCTTTTTCAAGTGTGCTCCTGTTAGACAAGAGTCCGGCTATGAAGAATGCACAATTCTGTGTGAACAAAGTATGTGAACCCCTCATGTACATCGGATGGGTCTTTCTACATGTATATTTTTGGCTTGCAAACAACCATGTTGGTCAGTGTCACTCTTTCCACGGTGGTAAGCTGACATCCCTTTCTGTTTAGGGGCGAAGAATCAATCTTCTGGGTTGACGTTTTGTTGCTGTTGTCAACAGGCTTTAGTTTTATGGATCGGGCAACTTTCCACTTGCAACCCATCTGACCACGAAGAGTCAGCAAGGTTTGGAGGAAAAGTTATTTTCTCCGAGGCTGTAAGTTGCAATGCAGCTCTCAGTGCTTGCGAGAAGGGTTTTTGCTGGGTTTTGGGCTAAGCATTTGTTGTGGGAGATTATGAAGAATCTGGCTGATCCTGAACTTGCTGGCTTTGGCTTGTGTGCAAGGTGGTTGCAACTGCGCTCTTGCAATCTACAAAACAGGCCTTGAATTGACCATGTCGTCAGGATGGTCGATGCATCCAACAAAATCTAGCTGTCTGGGAGGAACCTAACAAACAAACACATCACATTTGTTCTCAGGCACATCACAGGCCCGACCACGTCACGTGCCCCATCCAACTCCGTGGCAAGGGCTATGGTGGTTGAGGGTTCTAGTGAATTGTTCTGAGGTACAGTGCGTTGGCAAGTTCTTTGGAATCCAGAGGACATTGGGAGTAGTAGACTCAGGTTGACCCTGTAAGACGCCCTGGACTCCATTTTCGAGCCACGCGACAAGTGAGGTTAGCCAGCCAAGCCGCTACGGCCTTGCGACTGAGCGGTGGCAATCTTGGTTTTTGACAGTCTTTGTTGAGTTGATCAGCTTCAAATTTCAAGTGACCTTTCCTGATATGGACTGTTGATCAATAACCGGACCATCTGCAGCCGGAGGGGGCTTTTGTATGAATCATCAACAGTCAACAGTCAACATGGTCGACAGTATCATGCAGCTCAAACAACCTGACAAGGCCTTAGAGCAGACGTGGTCTTCTGTAATGCGATCGTCAGCTCGATGGAGAAAGGCCACCTTGCACAGAGACTACGACGGCGAAAACGGAGAGAAACAGGTGAGAAAAACAGCCTGAGAAACTAAGGGACTTTCTTGGTTCATTCTATTTATGAAGAAGACAACCCCAGCTTCTGGGAGTCACCGCTTTGCCTCTTTCTTTGCAATTGCTCCTCTTGAGTCCGTGGGTCCTGCGTCAATTTGACCTATTTATATACTGGTTTTCAATTTCATCTCACAGCTTGCCTACTTGCCTCTCTCCTTCTTTATCTTTTCAGGCATTGTGAAATTCGCGTGTTTCAGGTGTCTGTTTACACTATCATGTTTTCTTGCTCTATCGTTTGTTTTCGTGAGGGTTCCTGGTTCCGTGCAGGCTGTCAGTGGCATTTGGCCACAGCTTTGTTGGATGCGATGCGGCAAACGCATCAGCGCGTGAGCCGCATCACCCTGAACTCAGTCATGAGTGCTTGTGAGAAGGCAGGACTGAATGACTCTGAAGAAAGTGCGAAGGTGGGTCAAGAGCCAGCGGGGCATGGTCTTGACCACCCTTGGAACGGTTTCTTTGGAGCACATGCATGGGAGGGATTTTGACTCCTTGACTTTAAGATGTGCTAGAAAGAATTGGATGTTGTCGCAAGAAAGAAAGTTCTCAAATACTGTCAACATGCTCTAGAAATCCCTTGGACTGCTCCATGTGCAGTCTTGTAATTGAACTTTGGAGGAAGAACTGCAGAATCCATGATACTGCCAGGGTTTCCGCTGGAGAGATGCACACAGAATGCTGTGCAAGAGGCAAGAATGAAAGGGACACAGTTTGCACACAATTTTGCATCTATTTCTATATTCTTCAGCATTTTGTAGATACAAACACATACAAACGGATTTTCTCCCTGAAGATACATCAGCGCTCTATCTTTGAAGCTGGACATTTTTGCGATACTTGGTTGCGGCAAGCAGGAGTACATAAGCGCATCGCCACTACGTCTTTGGTGAAGTACAGGTCCCTTGAATTAGTGTCCAACTCACTTGTTTGTTCAGTTTGTGCTCAGCTCTTTCTGAGTCCCAAGGTACAATAGCATGATGAGTGCATGTGAGAGGTGCACACTTTGGGAGCAGTCTATGAGCACCCTTGGAATGCTCCACGGCAACGACTCAATGTCAATCTGAGTCAGAGAGGGGGGACAGAAGCTCAAAAATCTCTTTTTTTGGTCACCTGGATTCTCCTCATTCCTCCATGCCAAGACCATTGAATCCGAGAGTAGGTCTCCGGGACGCTGGATGTTGAGTTCATGTCGGGCTTTGCTGCCAGGGCAGCTTCTTGTTCCAATTCTAATTATATAAATTGTTTATAAGTTTACTTCTACTGCATATATTTCTATTTATTTCTTGTTACTAGTAGCTTCTTGTTGCTAGTAGTAAGGCCAGGAGCCCCTAGTAGCGTCCTTGCTCCTAGTAGCGATGCCAGGAGCCCCTACCGCGGTGCCCAGGTTGGAGGAAGATCCTCAGGTAGTTTGTGATGTGGTCACCCTCACCTCAGCGATCGGTGGGGTGGAGTGGCCATGGGCAGTGGAGCTGTTGAAATTGATGCCCCAACGAGGCGAGGGAAGTGGAAGTTCGTTATTGTTGATGACACCAAGCTGCTGTGTGAATTTCATGGCTTTCACCTACTCAGAATCGAAACGTGCCTACTCAAGGTGTGAAAGCCAATGTGGTGGCCTTTAGCTCCGTCATCAGTGCCATTGGAGAGCCGGAAGGACGCACACCAAGTGGATCAAGTGAACCCAGTGGTTACGAAGAGGAAGGAGGAAATGAAGAAGACGAATCCTCAGAGCTATGGCCCGCCGTGGATGTGTGGCCGATGGCCCTGCAGGTCCTGGATCTCATGGGGGATGATGAGGTGCCACCAAATGATATCAGTCGCTTGAATGAACCTCTCAACACTTCCTTGACCACCCTCACCAAGCTTGGTCGCTAAAAGGCGAAAAAATGCATTGTGGTGACCTCTGGGAACCAACATAGTGGTTCCACCTTCTATGTTTCTTAGTGTATAGTTGTGTGGCTTGAAAGATCCTCATATCCTGAGAAAATGGGATAAACACCCCTGATTCCCGGGTTTGATCATCTAGTAGTCTCAAAGATCCATGAAGGCCATCAAATGCCCTGGTCACACGGGGCACCCTAGTTGGGACCGGCGGGGTGCCATGCTCTCGGAATAAATGTATTCGCTGCTTTTTTGCAGATTTGTTTCGCCCCTTGGCTATTTTGAGGATGATTATATATATATATATATTATTTTTTGATTTGTTGTTTGTTTTGTTTTGGTGTTTTGCGGTTGGCTGGAATGCTCTTTGCAGGGGTTGGGCGATTAAAGACCATCCGGTTTGTGTTTGTTGTTCTTCCTATGAGCGTCCAAAAGCTGGGTTTCCGGTGAAGGTTGCAACAGTGCAATCATCGTTTGTGGCCGTGGTGGGCAGTGGCAGCTGGCTTTGTCTTTGCTTTGGAGCATGCTGCGGAGTCGCTATGCTGTCGACCTTTATACTGGCTATTCCACTGTTTGGGCCTGCGAGACGGCTGGGGAATGGGAATTGGCTTTGGAAATCTTGAAAGTTATTCCGGAGACCCGAGCACCTGGCCTGACGTTTCAAGAGGCTCTTGCTGTTCTTTTCACATATATATATATAATCAAATGCTAAAAAGGCTGCACACAAATGGAAGCAATGCCAAAAGGAAGTAGAATGATTGAGTCATACTCGGAGCAACTGATGTGCAAGTGCAGTAAGCCAAGAGACTTTGAGACCAAGGCCAAACCCAATGTCTTTGGCTGTGCATCTGATGTGAACCTTTGCTACCGGCAAAACCGGTGGCAGCTGGGACTCTACTTGATCAACATCCTCTCACAGGCCGGAAGCTCGAGCATCGAATCAAGCTCCGAGGCACATCAAGAATCGAGCGCTACGGAATTGTGCTTTGAAGGACAATGGCTTTTGTCACTTTTGTCTTCGTAGTAACAAAAAGCTAGTAGTAACAGGTGCCACGCTTGTAGTAACAGGTGCCTTACTAGTAGCAACAAGAAGGAGCGAGACTGATAGCAATTCCCTCCACCATTCGGAGGTAGCGCTGCTCCGAATCTGATCACGAAGATTGGAGCGTGCTTTGGCACTTTCATTGGGATTGACAGGAATTCTCCATCAAGACAAACTACTGCAAGAAACCTTTGGCTTACTCAGTTTTCTCAATCTATGTTTGCTGTCACGAATACTCTTTTTCTGTTTAGTTTTCTTTGTTATAATTTTTTTTACGTATCTCTTGGCTTTATGTGAAACTTTTTTTGTCTCTCTTGGCTTCATTTGTTTTCTTCATTGTGCTTCTGCCCCTGGTTTGCTTGTTGCTTTTGTGTCGGTTGCTTTCTTACATTCTTTTCAGGTTGTGCCTTTTCATTCAGTTGCCTCTCCCTATTTTTCTTCAGTGCCTTTCTTCATCTCAATCAAAGGGCATGGACTCGCAAGCTCGTGACCGCTGGCTTGTGTGGATTAAGTCGAGTTGAGCGAACACCCAATCTGCAGTGTCAGGGATCCTCCCGGTGATTCAACCTGTGACATGCTTGCAAAGTAGGCCTAGGGCAGCAAGTAGTTTGATGGACCACTTGCAGCTGCCAAAGGATGCTTGATGGATCCTTCCTTCCTTGGTTTGGGGGTTCGTTGTTGTGCGCCATTGGAGAACATATCATGCGATCCGCAATTACCTTTTTTCTACCGCAGTTAAGTTTCCCTAAAAATCTAGCAACCAAATTAACAGCGTGAGCTATCCTGCGTCCTAATTAGGAGCGTCCTGTACCTACTAGCTACCTATCCCTATCCCTTACTTAAACAAGTAGGCACCTACTTAAATACAGTAGGGAGGGGGGAGCATCTTACCATTCTTACCTTTCTTCTGAACCGTTAGCTGGTTGGCCCTTTAGGCCCATGAGACTCACGCCCAGCCGAAGTCCCAAAGGCCCGGGACTGGTCTTTGCGCAACAGCTGGTTTATGCTCCATCTGCTTTTGCCGGACACGCATGAAACCAAACCAAATGTGCAACTTTGGGTATCAGCCTTAGCTAGGAACCTAAGCCTGAAATATGGGACTCAAACGTAGTTGGAATCGCCGTGGCCGTGGCCGTTGCCAGGTGAAATCCTCCAATGGCTTGACTGACCCGTGTTGTGGAAGTTACAAGTCCTTGGCGAGGGATCAGGAGCGGGATGAGACTGTGAGGAAGAGTTGAGATGACTTCTTCAAACATAGCTTATGGACTTTCTGGACCTTTGACATGACTCGTGCATGGCTTTCATGAGGTGGAGCAGGTTTTGCCTGAAATATATAAGCTGTTCATTCATTTGATTATGGTCATTTTATGAAGTCCTCGGAAGCCGTAAGGTGGTTGCTCTGTGTGGTGGTCCTCAGCTGCTTTTGCTCCAGTGGGGTTAGTCTGTCATGTCGGAGCTCTGAAGCTATGGGCATTAATCGTTGCGACTTGTGTGAGTGTGTCATTTGGGCCTACTCAGAAGCAACAGAATGTGGGTGCTACGATCACATTTGTGAGTCCTGCGTCGAGGATGTTCGCCAAAAAACCAAATGCGAGTATTGTGAGGATGGCCAATCATGTCGCAGGTGTGAGATGGTTGTCAAAGATGGGGCTTGGCTGGCGTGTCCTGCGTCAGATTGCCCAATACCAGAGCGTCTTCAAGACAACTGTTGTGAAAGTTGTTGGGATGGTTTTCTTGATGACTTTGGAGCTGTGACCGGCTTGGTGAAAGTCACCAGCGCCACCACTGGAGACTTTATCAAGCAAGTTAATGTTTTTGACAATGATCGAATCTCAAAGGTTCGGCAAGAGATGGCAGAGCACCTTTCCTTGCCAGCTGCAAGCATTCTGTCAATATCCGACAAGGTTTCAAGCATAGCCGGCAAGAAACCGCCTGCAAAACCAGCAGCACCTACCAATGTGACCCAAGCGCAAAAGGTGATGATCATTGATTGGCTCCCGGGCCAGCAGGTTTTGAATCGCCAGACAGGAGACCATGGATACCGCACCCTTTCTTGTGGCCACTTCTCTTGTGTTCTTGCATGTGCAGAGGATAGGTGTCAAGAATGTGAAAAACATGCGGCAGAAGCCGCAAGGAAGCAGCTTGACAAAAAGAGAGCAAAGCAGGCTCGGGTTGAGGCAAACCATGTGTTGTCCGATTTGGAAGTGTTGCGAAGCATTAAGGTCAGAAGCAAGACTGTTAAAGACTTCATCTCAGGACTTGCTGCCAAAGCCAAGGCCAATGCGCCCAACGTGCGGCTGGCACGGACGCAGACAAGCTTTGAAAGCACAAGACCTGCAAAAAAGCAGAGGAATGCTGGAAGTGTGGCACGCACGGCAAAGGCTGCAGGCTCCCCGCAGGCTACAAGCCTACAGGCCGTAGATGCAGGCTTCAAAAAGCTGTGCAAGCAAGAAATCACCCCCGACAGCGGAGAAAGCTGCAAGTGATGTGCCGAGGATGGAAGTGACCTTGGAAATGGAACTGGAGCGCATGATGGACGAAATGGACATGTCACCCCGTCCAAAGTCTCCTGAAGAAGATGTGGAAGACATAGAGCTTGAGCTCGAACGTCTCATAGATGGAGCATTTGACCGCCAAGGCCACTTCTAATGCTTTGAATGAACTCTTGAACACACTAGATTTAGTGTTTTGTTGGTGGAAGTTTCGACAAAAATGTCTGGATGATGTTTGGCTGATTTTCGCATAGTAGTTTAGGTGGTATTTTGCACATTTCAGGGCAATCTTGAAGCATGCAAAGGAAGAGAGTGTCCAGTCCAGATGGGAGGAAAAAAGTACATTGACAGTCTGCACGGGGCAAGCGACTTCATGAAGCTACTCCAACACTTGAGTTGCTGACCCTGCGAACAAATTTGTTGTAAACTCTTGATCTTCAAGAATTCTAAGGAAATTGATGGACGGAAGTGTGTGCACGTTTGTACTGTAAAGCTGGATAATTCAAAGTAGCTGGACCAAGACTCTTCAAGAAGTTGATCACTGCAGATACCTCACCAATCTTAAATTATTTGCAGGACAGATTGTATGGCCAACCTGGGGGAGGATCACTACGCCGCAGTTTGATGACGGTTCTGACCTGGAGTATTTGTCCAGCCCTGAGGCTCTTCCAGACCAGCGGGTACTGCCCTGTTTGGTCAGAGATTGCTTGCCTACTGTGAGGCAAAATCATGGTCTGGTCTTGTCATGTTTGAAGGCTTTGCCAGATTGCAATCTTGCTGGAGATGTTTTCATGATTTCAATCCAGAATGGAATGCCTATATGTAGGGTCAACGATCCCCAGTCATCCGTTGTGACGTAGACCAAGTTCAATTTCACCCATGGCTGAGGTGAAGATGTGCCAATACACAGATGCGAGGATTGGTTGGCCCAGCATTTCATTTGCGGAACGCTCGGACGATGTGGTAATGGGGGGCCCTTTGACGATGAGTCAAGGAGGAGCTCGCCAAATAGATCGACTGTAGGGCAGCAAGTTGTTTGATGGACCACTTCGGCTGCAAGATGATTGGTACTATGGACAGATATGGACAGTTCATGTGGACATGATCAGGTTCAAAGCTGGAGATTACCGAAGAAAGGGCCCATCTCTTTCGCATCAATGACAGAGTGGCTTTGGCGGTTGGACATTTTCGCATTTTGGCGCTGTTGGCTGTTGAGGTGCCATGCCTGATTCCTCTGAAGACCACTTTAGGCTCGAACAATGAAAACTGATGATGGTTCGTGAGAGAGAACCTCTCCCAGACACTTTTCAACATTTGGGAAAGAACAGAGTTTCAACTCGCTGACGAGAAAGTCAGAATACCAGCCCTTCACAGCGCACAGCCACACCAACCGTTGGCTGATTGGCCCAAAGGCTTTACACATATGAGACTCACGCCCGGCACGTCCGCCACGCCCAGCCGAAGTCCGGCCAAAGGCCCAAAGACCGCAGTTAGACAGAACTCAGCAGTTACAAGGGCATTACTACTAGGAGCAAGGACGCTACAAGTAGCTCCTGGCCTTACTACTAGGAACAAGAAGCTACTAGTAACTAGTTTGGCATAACTTGATTACCTCTGTGACCTCTGTGCTACTTGTTTTCTTTACCTCTGCGCAAACGTGCATGGCAAATGAAGCGATTGCGCAACGCACCAAGGGTGTCAAGGGCTTTGTTACAGACACCAGTATCTAGTGTATTTGCTTAGAGAATCTGCAGTTGTGTGTGTGTGTGTTGGTGTGGTGACCCTTTCCTGCCGGCTCAGTTGGGACGCCTGAATGGATCACTCAGAAGACTTCCAGGTGCATGGACCAGCGCCAGGCCATTCAACAGGATCCATTGCAGGCATGTGGGAAAATGGGCAAGCATACAAGCTGTGATAACCTCTTCAAAAGATATCTCTTTCATTCTCTTTCTCCTTCCTATTGGTCGAACAGTCCCTCTCACAGGTCCTGGATATCACCTGTATTCTTGGAACATCACGCGTGCAGAATGTTGAGTTTTTGTGGATGTGGTATGTCTTTTACACTTCACTTCGGTTCACAACTTTCGCCTCACAGCACAGAAAGTCTGGAGGTTGTCTCACGTTGTGGGGACGACACGTGAGCCCGAGAGGTGAAGATCCATGAAGATCCTAGAAAATTGCAATCGAAGAATGCAAACCGCCATGTAAACCTGCATCAGTGGGTATGAGTTAGGAACCTGCGCTCGAGACTGCTTAGGCAAAGGATCCTAGTGCTGGGGAGGCAATCCCTTCTTCTAGCCATCAAGGGAAGCCTGTTGTACATTTTTCCAAAGCTTGACCAAAGCATCAAATTGTCGGAGTCCACCCCCACGTTTGGGTGTTGCAGCAGTTGATTCGGTGCGTTTACTTCCTCCAAGATTTGTTGGTGGGACATCTCGGTTGCCTTTTCCTTGCTCAAATGAGTGAACTCAGAGTCATTTCTATCACATTGTGTCTTTTCAGGCCTTTTCCCCCACAGAGACCGACCTGATTGACAACGGTTCAGCGCTCCAACTGTGGCCAGGTGAAATCCATCAATGACTTTACGGATTCACTTGCCAAAGCGCTTGCGGAAGCGGAAGGAACGCCTTCCAAGGAGCACATTCATTGAAGGATTTTGGGGATGGAATGCTCCAACTGCACCTTGCTCGATCCTCCAGCTTTGGTTTCCAAATGTGTGAAAACTGGTTAGACAGGTGAGCAAGCTTGGGGCAGATGTGGGGAGGAGTTTGGCATTTTTCACAAGCTCACCAGCTAGGGTGGTTGTTGTCGTCGTCGCCGTCGTCGTCGTGGCGGGTGTGGGTGCGGCTCTTCTGATGGTCGCCGGTAGTATTGATCGTCAGTACTCCTTTTTCTTCTTCTCATTCTTCCTGCCTTTGGCTTTCGGCTGTTGCCAGGAGCTGACGCGAGAGCTGCTGGCGGATGGCTTGCGAAGGGCCTTGGAGATGCTTGGGGAAGCTGCAAAGAGCCAATTTCTGGAGCCAAGCCGTGAGCAAGGGTCGAGTGAACTGCATACTGGTCCGAACAATGAAACATGGATGAACATGCATGTTCTTGATCCATGGCCAGACCTGGAAACTGTTTAAAAGATTTGCCTGAACCGAGGTCAGCGATGACCAATGAACACCGGTATCAACCACCCTAAACACCAGTTGACGATATTGATTTGGTATAGTTTGGCTGCCCTCTCCGGTGACCCACGCCATTTCTTGCAAGACGAGCTGGATCCACAGCCTTGTAGACTTGTAGATCGCACTTTTTTCATGTTCATCAGTGATTTACATCTCTTAAAGTCGTCAATTTTCCTTGTTTGGTTTTTTATGCCGAGCATTTTGACCTCTGCGGAGGAGGTCTTGGCTGCGAACATCCACAAGTTCGCCTTGCAGGACAGCAGCCAAATTTTTATTCTTGGTTGGGGTCTCGCAGTGGCACAAGACGAGAGCCAAACAATTCTTGAGCAAGATTTGTTGACACTGTTGCACTGTGTGTTTTTCAGAATCAGCCAGACTTGGTTTGAAAAAGGAGCAGTATTCCTTGTCACGGGTTTATCCCGTCGAGATTAGCCCTTCGCTCAGCGACCGGGGCCCTCGTGCAAGTACTCGCTTCACGGGCGACGCGGCACGTGGTTAGGCTCCGAATACAAGAACCTCCAGTCCTTCTTCGCGGAACCGGCTTTGGAGGCCATCTCTTTTTTAAAGCCCGCTCTGCGCTCTTAATTAAGTAGGCACCTACTTAAGGGAGAAGACACCTACTAGCTACTTAAGCTACTACCTACTGGACGCAGGATAGCGCTCGCACTAATGATTTGGTTTCTAGATTTTTAGCCTTCTTGGGATTGCCACTTGTCTCAGCGAATGGGGAGATTTGGATCACATACATATTCGTCATTCGTTGGAGCTTGGAACACCGAGTCGAACGCTGAACTTTTTCACCTTTTTTCATCAGGTCAGGAGCAAGGGATAAATGTATATATATACACATAAACATATTACCCCATATTATATACATATGTATGTTATGTAGATCCAGGATGCTTGTGATCTGTCACTGAGGAAGTGGGCTGGGACCCTAGACCCAATGGTTGATTTGTGCAATGCTGTGGAAACACACATCCGACATACATCTATATTATTTACTCGAGACATATGCTGCATTGTACATTGAACGTGATGCAGTCATTGTTGCTCTCCTCCCTCATGCGTTGTTGCCGAGGTGCTCATCAGGCTGGGAGACCAGAGCATACATGGGAGAAGGGCGTTGTGATTTGGGTAGTTGAAGACTGGATCAACAAATAAACAACAACTGGAATACGGGCACTGCAGAAAGTGCCCCCCAGTTTTTGGTGCCCAGATGGAATTCGGCAGGTCTCCGTCTCTAACAATCTTGTGAGCTCTCTACCTCCACAAGCTTTCTGACAGCCTACGTTCAGGAACAAGCAGAGAAGTGAGATACTCTTGGATTTACGGTTCTGCCTACAATCCCCTGAGGACCTTGCGTGAAACTTTATCCCTTTCATTTTTGAAAGCCTCGAGTAAGTCTGATCGCTGCCTGCAGACCCGACTTAAAGCAATCTAAGGATTTAGGGGTGACACTGAGTTCCTTCTTCTTTTTGATCACAACACCTGTGAAAGAAGATCTTCAGACTTGTTCATCCCAGATAACCAATTCTTTTGACCCTCACGATTTTCAATGTTCAAGCCATGACACTTTGTGACACAATTCCCAATAATTCCCAAGAGGCGTTTGTCTATCCTCACCTTTTGGGCCGGTAGCATAGATTCTCTTGGTTCCTGTAGGTACTGGCCTTCATACCATTCCTTTTGAACAAATCGGAGATGAGCAAAGATCTCATGCAGGGTTTTGCTTGCGCTTGAGGCTGAGCCTACAGCCCTCTCTGAGCTCCGCAGGCGCAACCAAGTTAGGAAGATGTCTTTGAACTTACCAGACCAATCGAAGGGTGCAGCTGCTTCGACCATTGCACGCTGGTCTGGGAATTTGATTTGTTCTCATTCTTCTTCTCATTGAAATGCAAAGTCGTGCAGGATTTTAGCGGCACTTCCTCAAATGCCCGGTCCCAGTGCAGAGGACGGTCGGATCCGGGCTGGAACACCTTTTTTTGGCAATCTCCGGGTTCATCCTGCCCAGGAGTTCGTGGTGAAGCTGAAGGATGAGCAGACCTCACAAGCCTTGAAGGCTTCATCATCACACATGGAGAGATTTCCTAAATTTGGAAACGTGATCAGCAAACCTGCCAAGTTCGCTTGGACGAATGCATGACACCATTTTTTTGAGTATCCGATGGTATCCAGGCATTTTGCCCGCGCACATGTTGTATGATCAAGATTGATGTTCAGGCGGTGAATACTCGATCGCGGTCGTCCTTCTTTGGAGAAGTTCGACAAAACTTGTACAGGCTGGAGCAGTGAATTGAACTTGAGCAGTGCCTAGATACTGAAGCAGACAACCCAGAGAGATCGAAGAAAAGCTTTGAAAACTCTGCAAAACTCAAGAAGAAGTCTTTGTCCCAGAGTGAGGTCCTGCCACCCCGCTGCTGCCTTTGAACCGTGTCCACGGTCCGTTTCATTAATTTTCCCAACAATTCCAGCAAGGGTATTTGGACTTTGGGACCCTCATCCTATCCACGAATTCACCCATGCACCAAATCCCCCAATTTGCGGAGGCTGTCGGAGGCCTCACAGAAGGAACTGGTGGAGTCCTTCACGGAGCTCAAGGCTGAGGTGGTGAAGCTGGTGGACTCCATGACACAGGAGCCCGCGAAATCTCAGTGGCTCCAGGGAGCTCGGTGGTCTTGTTGGAGTGGTTGGACTAGTTGGTTGAAGGATTTGATGAATTCCAAGTGCCGCTCTTCAGCAGGTTGCTGGTTTTCAAGATCCTAACCCAATTGTGCGAACTGAGCACACCAGTCCTTGTGGCCAGGAGGTGTCTGTATGGCTGGATGAGGAAAGGGTGGCTTCCGCCTGGAAGAACCAAGCCAAAGAGGCACGGCACAGACACTGCACATTGCATGCAAATTTGCAACGTTTTTCAATTTTCTTTTACGACAGCTTCAAAATGGAGACTTGTCCAACTAACCTTCCTTTGATTACTACTAGCTGGTTTCTTGGTTCCGTCGCCCAACCGGCTCAAGCTGATGTGCTGGCGCCATCATGCCCCCAGGGCGTGGCAAACCCCGCGAACGGGGCACCCCGGCAATGTTGATGTCAGATCTTGGTCAGCAAGGGAACAGATACAGACTAAGGACTTTCTTTGGGTTGAAGCTATCCTTCTTCAATACAAGATGACTGACAAAGGTATTTTTCCACATCAGGTAGAATAGTTAGAAATCGATTTTCAACCCATGAGAGCCACACGAAAGACCAGCTGTGACACTCCCTTTCTGGCAGAGCAACTGACCCAAGAGCCAGTCCCCCCTTCAACCGCGCCAAAAAGCGTTCTTAGGTACAGTGGTCGCTTGGAAGACCGCGGAGTATGGCTTTGTGAAGCGTGAGGGACGTCATAATGATGACATCCAGCTACATGTGGCCAATGCAAAAGGCGAACGCTTCAAGAAGTATGTTCGCCGTTACGGCTTGCAACCTGGAGTCAGGGTGAAATTTGACGTGGACTTTGAGGAGCGAGCCTACAAAGAGATGTCTTGGATGGGCGCCTGTTGTTTTGAAAGAAGAGTTCAATGATGCAGATGATATACGGAAAACCTTTCAGACGTTTCAAAACTACTTGTGTGCTTTGCAGTGTTTAATTTCTACATGGTCGCCTTCCAGCGACAAAGCGCAGCGGCTTTTTGCAGGAAAACCGGGGAAGACCTTTTGCATCAAACTGGGCATGGGCCCCAGGTTTTCGTTTTTCAAGACACACTAGGTAGAGAAACAACCGAGATTTGGGGGGTTGGGGCTTTGTAGGGATAGCTTGAAGCTCTGATGGGTCAGATTTGGATCACGCTGGATCATTTGTTGCACAAAGTCTGGCTCTAGAAGCGAAGAAGCCAATGCATTGGTTTGTGCCTCGACCAAGCCAACACCGACTCATTTAACCTTGGCTCAATAAATCACCACCACATTAGGGGAGAATCAAGCTATTTTTCTTTTGCCCATTCGGCGGCGGTTTTTGAATCTATATAACAAACATACACTTGTCCGGTATTCCTCTGCCACCAGCCTTTGTCGGCCGAGTTTTCTTCACTTGTCTTTGGCAAGCCATTTCGGAGTGGTGCCCATTTGTTTTCGCATGGGTCTTAAGGAGATGGTGGATCCACCCCACTTATCTGCGAGCCGTAGCCGCAGCGGAAGATCTCGCAGCAGGTGCCACTCTCATGGTTGGACTCGTCGGACGAGTCTCCGTCTGTTTTGGACGGGTAGTCCGGGTAGTCTTTTCCCGCTCTCCAAATATCGTCATGAATCTTGATTTCTTGCAACACACTTTCTCATGACTACAATTGGAGAAGTGGAGCAAGTCGGCAATTGCAAAAACACCGCAGGCGCAAGCGCAAGTCTCCCAGTGCTCGGGGCCCAAGCCAGTTGCTTGATGTCCATTGCTTAGGCTTGAAGACGGAGCTGGCCAAGCAAAAAAACTAGCCATGACAAGATCAATTTTTTGCAAGAACTGCAGAAACCACCAAAACCACATGAAGATTTTTGTTTTCACATTCGTCCAGCACCAGGTCCGAAGGGCCTCGCGTGCCTCGCCCAGTGTGAAGCGCACTCGGGCCTCGCCCAGCGTGAAACGGCCTGGAAGCGGCTCCAGGAGCTATCTATACAAAGGTTTTCTGAAATAGCTAGGAGCTGCTAACCGAAGGAAATATACTGAACAGGTTTGGGGGCTTGAGAGTTAAGTTTTTAGATTTTGTATCAAATTTCTACGGGGGAATTGACCATTTTCCTCTTTTAAGTCAGCTCCCTGGAAGCCTCGCCTTGGTGACTTGAGCTTTCTGTTCGGAGGAGCCGGGAGCGTGCAAAGTCGGCCAGTGGCAAGAAGAAGGGCACCAGTCGCAGCCGGGATAAGAAAAGGAGCAGGGACCGTGATCGCAGGAAGAGGAAGAGCAACTCGACGAAGCGCAGATCGAGAAGTAGAGAGAAGAATGACCGAAAGAAGAAATCTCTCAGCAAGAGCCGCGACAGAGAGAAGCCGAAGCGAAGCAATGCTTCGAAGTCGCGCAGCAAGAGCAAGTGTGAGGAGGAAAAGTCAAAGAAGGTGAATGGGAAGAAGGATCGCTCTGAAAGTCAAAAGAAGGACAAAAAAGAGGGAAGCAGATCCCGGAGTAAGAGCGAAGCAGAGAAACCTTGAAAGCGTGACACAAGTGAGGAGTAGCTAGGCAGTTCTAAGGTGATGCAGGAATTTGCATTCATCAAAAACTCTTGGCATCTCTTGGCTGCATTTGGAGATAGTCAGGTCCTCTATTGTAATGTGACTCATGTGACTATATAAATATTGAGCGAGTGCATACCAGCCCTACTCTAGGATTTGCTACGAGATTAACTTCAAGTGAAGGCGACCGATGATGCCTGCATCACCTTCGAAGCCTTCGTCTTTGCTTTCCTTGGACACCTCACTTCATTAGCAGAGGATTCAGCATCGCGAGAAAAGGGACGGCTTGAGCTCCTCACAATCTTGTGCCCTATTCACCAACTATTCTTTTGGGATACTCAAGAATTCACACCCAATGCCAGGGCCCCTTGTCTTGCTTGCAGACCAAGTAAGATCACAGCTCCAGGATTGTGGAAGGATTTCTTCTTTTGGGTCATCTCTCTCTCTCTATATATATAAATAGATATTACTATTTTAGGTCATCTCTCTCTCTCTCTATACATACAAATATATATATATATCAAAATTCTATTTGGATTGATGTGAGAGATTGATCCGTCTCATGTCTTCATTTGTGAGGCAAGCTTGCTCACACAGGCCCGCGACCTTTTTCAGGTGCCTCCCTGTGTTTGGAAAGAGTCAACGTCTCTCTTTCAATGTTGGCTGCAGTCGTGCTTGCAGGCTGTTTTGTCCGCATCATTTCAAGCCAACTTCAAGCAAATTGGTGCTGGCGCAAAGCGCGCAAAGGAGGCGGGGGTCAAATTACTGCAGATCCGGCGCTGCACGGAATACCTTTGGGGGCACGACATGGGCATGTGCGTTGCTCTACGAATTTTTGCGTTGAGACTTGCCGATGTGATTTGCGCTTCTGTGCCGTGTGCTGGGCATACACAACATAGAGACACCCTTGTTATGGACATTGATCAGTCACCCAAACTCTGACAGCTGATATTGCCTCAAAGGCTTTTCTGCTCCAGATGGCCGTTTGCCTCAAGACAGTAGAGCGGCGGGACTGGCATGGAGCTCAGCGCATGGGTCAGTGCATGAAGAACTAAAATACGGCAACCCCAAATCCCAAACAAAGCTGCTTGCAGTAAAGATGCCGTGTTTCAGTTCTGTGCGGATTGTTTTGATGGTCTCAGAGGTCTCAGAGGTTCTTTCTTTTCTCACGATGTTTCTTGCCACGAGGCCTGGTCTCAGTGAGCTGTCTGGCAAAATGCGCCGATGCTTTTTCTATGTTTCTCGCCCAAAGAAACCCGGAGGGTTCAAGAGATTTAGCAGATTCTGCGACAAGCCAACAGTGCAACATCCGGGTCTTTGAATGACCGAGGTGGAAGGCTATGGGGAGTTGATGGAGGATTGGTTGCAAAGCAGAACAAAGCAGCTAAATGAGGACTGGTCGAAATGGCAAAACTGATTTTGCCAAGCTGTAGGGGAATGGGATAGATAAACTCAAATTTTTGCTTTTGATGGTTGTAGATGTGAGGAGTTTTTGCAGCGAGGGACTGCTGTCTTGGGATCCAACTTCTCTGAAGTACTCTCACGACTCCGTCAGATCTTTCGGTGGGAGCCTGTGGGGTGTAGGATATTTGTTGACAAAGAAAAACAACATGCAGATTAGCTGCAATTTTCATATGAAAGTGATGCACGTGATGCTTTATAGTACTTTATGCATTATTTACATAGCGAAGCATTTGCACAATGCCTTCATCATCTCAGGCCTGGTCGATGGATGTTCTTATCCGACCCACGAGTGGAAGGTGTTGGAAGCTAAGAGAGCAGGTGCGAGCTGCTCAGCCAACTAGGGAGGGGTCTTGGAACAGTGCCGAGGATTTGATTGGCCTTTTGGAAGACTCCATTCCTCGGCATGTGCTCAGCATTTCATCCTTGACCAAATTCCTGGAACTGGTTGGCTCCAGCGGCGGGGAGGATCCTTGTCAGCTTTTGGATATGCATCACCGTGTCAGTTATGAGGCTTTTACGCGTCTACAACTGTCCCTGCCCGTGCAAGTATACCGTACACTGATCCCACAAACTGATAATATCTTTTGAGTGCCAGCCAAACCTTCGTGGATTTTTTGATCGGGACGTTCCTGGTATGGCATTATAGACAATCCTGCAGTTTGTGCATCCTGCAGATACCTATGCAAATGGAGATAGGGCCCCGTCAATGAATGCTTCTTGACTAACAAACTCCGCCAAGAGAGGGCCATGAACCTCAGGGAAAGAGACCAGCGAGGCTTTCTTGGGCTTTGGAGCAGCCCAAAGTTCTACCCTGTGAAGCCAAAGAACATCAAATGCCAAAGCAAGATAGCCTTCAACTCTGCTTTTATCTCGTTCATTCTGTCAACCGCTTCCTTGCTGATACGGTTGATAGCACAAACTACTGACTTTCTCCCGAGAGCTCGGTCTTCTGCACGCAACTAGGTAGCGTCCTTGCTCCTAGTAGCGATGCCCTTTGCTCCTAGTAGTGTTCTTGTTCCTAGTAGTAAGGCCAGGAGCCACTAGTAGCGTGCTTGCTCCCGCAAAATGCTGCATGTCTTTCCTTTGTGGAGTTTCTGCTTGTCCTTGCTTGTCCCTTGTGCAGTGCTTCTCCAGTTTTCCCCAACGCATGCTTTTATTGCCAATTTTAATTCCGCTTGGTGGTGTTTTTTGACTTTGTTTCTTGCCAAGTTCGTCTCGCACAGTATTGCGCCAGTCACTTGAAAATCACGACAGGTTGAAGTCATTATATAAAGCACAATCTGCAGAGCAAAAGAACCAGAGGAGTTCCACTGGATTTTCAATCGATCATTCTTTTCAACAGCCCAAACTCTTTTTGAGGACTTCCACATCTACAATGACATCGTCCGACTGCCACCCCTCACGTCGCCGCCTTGCTTGGGGCCAAAGGACCTCACCGAATCGACGCTGCTGGAGGTCTTGAAGCGCTTGCCGGGCTTCCCACCCTTGCTGCGCACCGAGGGTCGCTACCGCTTCGGCCGCGTGGAGGCGGGTCGTGTTTTCGGGTTCGTCGTTTCGAGCCGTTTCACTCGTTCGACCAGACACATCGCGTTGTTCGAACGATGATCCAGTCGATCCCTAAATGTGTTTGGTTGTAATCCGTAAGCGTCTCAGAGGAACGGGGTTTATTCAGGTTTGGTAAAGCATGGCATTGTCATGCCACTTTTCCCATTACCTCGTTCTCTCACAACCTTTGCCTGTGTTGAGGTGGTCTTTCAGCTGACTGGCACGGATCTGGCGGCACAGGTACTCTCTGCACCACAGCCCGTGCCAGAGGTGCTCCGGGCACTGGACTTCTTCCTCCAGTTCGGTCCACAGGAATTCCCCAACGCCGCCGCGGAAGCGGTGCAGGCTTCGGATGCAGGACATCTCTGTCCAACCACGCAGATTCAAGATCTCAATGCGACTTCCTTGCCACTACCCACCCTACCCACGTTGCCACTTCCTAGCTCCACCTTTCCAACAGGGACACTGCCAATGTCAACATCGCCACTGACCGCAGTTCCACCACTTGGATCAGTTCCACCACGCACAGTTCCACCTCTGGGGACGCCGCTCCAGGGTGCCGGATTTCCTGCGCCAATGCCGCCCATGGCCCTGGGCATGGGCACCATGGGAGGTGTGGGCATGGCGGTGGCGACACCGGCGCCGGTGTTCGGCCGGCCCAAGTTTGGCATCGATGATGACGAGATCTAGCTTGGAAAAGAAGGTGCGCGACATGTGGAAGAGAAGGGTCACGGCATGTGTTTTTCTTGCGGAGGATTTGATCCTTGGAATATGTTTGGCAAGACAATGGCTCAGCTCCTCCATGTTGCATGCACGAGTACCGAGCTTGCAGTGTTTGACTGGTAGCCCATTGGAGACGTTTGCGCATTCGGAGTCAACTCGGCTCAACTCATCAGCAGCATGTGGACTTGAAGAGTGCAAGCCGCTGTTTTTGCTCAAACCTTCCCAGTATTGGTCCATGGGTAGTGGCACACGCCTGCTGCATGGCTTTCTGGTACACATGTGAATGGCAGCGTACCCGTTTGAACTGGCGCCTGTGGGGTGCTGTTGACAAGGCTGATAGATGGAAAGACTGCAGAGATGTTCACGAGAGTTTGTTGTTGGGAGAAGCAGCTCTAGTGCTTCGAGAGCTTCGGGAACAGAAGGCCCGTCGCCGTTTCAACATCTCCAGTGATCGAAGTGACAACAGAAAATGGCAATTCCAGGTGGGACGCGCCAAGCGGTGGTTGTCCATAGGAGAGAATATCCTTCAAAAGCTGCTCGTTGCGAAGAATCTCTTCAAACAGTTCAATCCAGCCAGACAAAGCGCAGCAGCCTTTTTTCAAGCTGCAAATCTGGTGAATTCAGTACGCAGTGTCCTACCTCTGGTATTTGCGAACTACACTAGTGTTCACGTCAACGCACCACCCTCCAAAGATGTCCTGTTCTGGCAGACTTTGGAGTCACGCGTTTATCAAGATGTGCCTTTAGACATTGCATTTTCCAGGAGATCGGAGACTCTGCAGGATCTAGCTCTACCGCTGACGGAACTCTTGCAGGTGGAAAGGCTTCGTTTTCAAGCAGGGTCCAGCTGGGATGGTCCTTTGGGTGAGGAGATTAAAGATCTCCTGAACTCGGCGCAGCGGCAAATGAGTTGGATGAAGGATTGTGGATGGCAGTGGGTTGTGATGTTGATAATTAGTTTGTTGTTGTTGTTGTTTAACCCTTTTACAGCTTAGTGTTGATGTTTAATCGCTTGGTGCCCGTATTTTTGCCTCAACATTGTAATGCCCCCCCCAATTGTGACTTCAAGCAAAACCCCGGCCATGCAAAAACTTGTGTTTCTTGGTGTTTGCACCTCTTGCGTCAGGAAGGCCTTTTGCCCCTCTTTGCCTTCAAACAGTCGGCGACGTTTTTCCGGCTTCTGGACCGGCTGGATTGCCGCACGGTGGTCGCAGTGCAGACGAACGGTTCGAGCGGCCCGGGCAGGCCAGTTTTCTGGATGCATGTGATGCCTGCACCTCATTGGGAGTCCGATAATATCAGGATGCACAAAGAGTTTCATTGTGGCGGGAAGGTTCTTCGTGACTTCATTGCCTCCCAGAGGGACCTCTCGCTTCGGAGCTTCCGATTCGTGGAGGTCGGAGCCTCCCTGGGCGGTTGTAGCTTTGAGGTCCTCACCTCCATCCCCTCCTCCATCGCATTGGCAGTGGAGGCTTACCAACCAGCAGTGGATGCGATGAGACGCACCGCGAAAGAGAATAGCCTCACCGAGCGTCTCATGGTGGTAGAGACCTTCGTCTCCACGGGCGCACACTGTCCGCGCTTGTTGCGAAGGTATTATGCACATGAGTGGGTAGATGGACATCCTGAAAATTCAAGTGAGTCAGATCCTAGCTCATGCCAGACTGCACAATTGCTGGAGATTCTGAGAGCTTGGACCTCTACTTCTGAAACACTTTGGGTCGATCTTCTACGAATCCATGTGAACGGCTTTGAATTGGATGTGATCCGCTCTGCACAATCCTTGCTGCCAAAGATCGGAGTGTTGGCCATTGCCATGTGGATCTACCGGGAACATCCAGCTGACTACAACCCCTCCGCCATCGCAAGCTTGCTGATGGGTGCAGGTTGCAAGATCACATTACATTGCTCTGACATGCCTGGGGCAAAGACATCTCAGCAACTTCAGAATGAGGCGGTGATTGATGCGCTTGCACATTTCAAAATCAAGGCAACTGATACCATGACCCTCATGGCTTTTTGTGCAGAGAAAAAGACAAGCAGCATGGGGTCCGTTGGAAGTCAGGGTATTTTAGCATGCCTCAAATTGCTTTGTGGACCTTGTCTTGATGTCTTTTTCAGCTCGAGAAAGATCCACATGATTACAGCATATTGATTACAGCCCTCCGTGTGCACCGTCCTCATCGCCTAATCGAGTTGATTTCCCAAACACCCACGCCTAGAAGGCCAACTGCGAAGCTCCTTGCGAATGCACCTTGCGAACGCTCCTTGAGGATCCTAAACCCCTAAACCCCTAAAGCCACACTGATCCAAAGTGATTTGTCGCCCAGTCACCATGCGATGGTTTTGCCTGTGGGGCTCCTTTGCCAGCTTCAGGGAGCGACTGCTGCCAGGCCCACCATGTGAGATCATAATGTTCAAACCTTGCAGAAACATATCATCATGCTTGTCATCCAAATATAGTTTGGATCTCCACCTAAACAAAGAAAATCACATCAAGTAAAAAACAATGTTGAGTGCAGTGCACCGACAAGGATCCTTTGCTTCAGAAGCTTGGGGATGTTAAGAAGCAGTTGTGAGCCATGTCATGACAACCTTTCAATCAGCCTATGTCCTGCACTTACACCTTTGACCTTGTGCATTGGGTTTGTGACCCGCAGGACCATCTTCCCGAGTTGCCGATGTCGAGATGACTAGCAGCAGTGAGAGCACAGCCCCGCAGCCAAAGCATCATCTCATCTTAATCTTCAATTGAGTAGGAGTCACCAACTAGCAGTATCCATCATCATGAATCAATCAATCAATCAGGCAGGCAGGCAGTCAGCCAGCCAGCCAGTCGGTCGGTCAGTCAGTCAGTCGGTCAGTCAGTCAGTCAATCAGTCAATCAATCAAAGAAAAAGCGGTATGGTCAGTGAAGTTGTCCCAGCAGCACAGACCTACGAATCCCACGCCACCTAGGCAGTCCGACGAGGCATCCCAGCACCAGAGGTCAATGTGACATCCGGTCGAGCTTGGGATTTCTTGATGAGCACCGTGGTGCTTTGTGCCTTGATCATCCCAACTCTGGTCATGACTGCAGTGGTTCTGCAGGAGCAGCCCGGATTGCACTTTGTCTTATTTCCAGGAAGGGTTATGACGGGATGAGTTGGTGATTTGCCGGGGCAAAGCAATGCGCAGAGGTGGATCACCCGCCCTGAGCAACGAGGGTGGCTAGTTTTGGGCTTTGGCTTCTACATCATCACAGCACCTTGGCATTCTTGGTCTCAGGATACCTTGAGCATGGGTGGGGAGTCGGGGAGGCTTAGTGGATGGAAGGTCTATGAAAAGGTAGGTCTCACCAGACACTTGGACTTAATGCAGGATGGACTTGTGATATTGTGGGACCACCCATGTTGTAGGTCATTACATTTCATTGCGCAAACAGAGGCTCTGAGAAGCTTGTGGAGCATTCTGATCCGCCTGTGCCGCCGGATGCTCTACATCCGTGTTGAAGTGAGCCGATATGCTGCAACGACCCTCTTTGAGGCTGGGAGCAGTCGTTGGTGGTTTGGACGACAGTGAGTGGTGGTGGGAGTGAGGGAGTGAGAGGTAGAAGACGAAGGACCAGATCCTTCTTATTGAGCGCTACCATTGTACAAAAGCAGGCAGACTGGAGAGTTTGTAGAGACCAGGTGACTAGAGTCTTTCCAAGACTAGAAGATCTGTGTCAAGCAACTAGGGCTGCCAAGCAACGACATACCTGTCACAACACGCGTTTGTAGCAACTCTAGAAGTGTTGTACTGTGCCTCTGACCCTGCTATTCTTGTTCCACCGCCTGACAGGGAGAAACCATGGCTTAATTTGGTTTGTGACACCAAGTTTAAAACAGAGCTGCCAAACAAGATCGCTGCCTGAGGCCTTGACGGACTCCTTAGCCAATGAAGCTGAGATGCAAGGGCTTACCTGCAGTTGGGATCAAGAAGCACTGCAAGAGATTCTCGCCGAGAAGAAAAATGTTTCTTTGTGTTCAGCAGTTTGCTTGTCACTACGAAAGCAACATTAACTCAACTGTTTCAACCATTTGGACTGCTATGTTGACCTTGGAGGCATGACAAGCTGACCGGGAAGATCAAGGTGAAGCTGCGGTTTTGGAGCTCGCAACCGCGGAACATGACAATCCGTTTAAGGAGAGACCTGGGAGGGCGTTACCCTGTGACGGCTGGGAAATCTGACTTGTGAAATTGGGGCTTCAAGAATTTGGATGCTATTAGGTTGGAGGCCATTGCTATTAGGTTGGAGGCCATTGCTATTAGGTTGGAGGCCGTCGCTATTAGGTTGGAGGCCATTGCTATCAGGTTGGAGGCCATCGCTACTAGGTTGGAGGCCATTGCTATTACTGTATATAGGTTGTGGTTCAAAACCCAAAGATTTTGAAGAAAGTCCGGGCTTTGGCTAGCTGTTCTTTCTTTCATCGTGTTTGACATACTTTCTTGGCAAGTCGGGCACAAAATGGGTCGGTGTGATAAGCGGAATGATGGGCAGTTGCCAAGTCGTCCAAGTCAGGGTGCCCAAAGCTCATGGCGACATCGAGCTTCAAGATACAGAGGTGGAACGCCTCGACTTGGAGGCCATGAGCGACGAGAGTGGGTTTTGTCAGTCTGCTTGTTTGCAGCTGGTGGGGGAAATCATGGGAAATCTGTCAGAGTCAATATGAGAGGGTCAGAAGAAGTATGACATTGGAGGCTGCTGGACATGTTGAGGAGAATGGAATGGCTTTCACGAAGCTACAATTTACCGCTTGATGAAAGGACACTGCTCAAGCTCCTGTTCCCCAAACAGGTTTACCTGTGAGGGGTTCTTACTCCTTTGAAAGGGGTGCATGACCGGGCCGCATGATTTTACATTTGTCTCCGGGCTTGCGTTCCTGCCACACGGTGGTTGCTGTGGCTGCATGATTTTACACTTGTCTCCCACTGCCTCCACTCGCTTGTGGGTGCTTTGGCCGCATGATTTTACACTTGTCCCCCATTGTCTCCAGTCCTTTGGGGGTGCTGTGGCGGCGTGATTTTTCACTTGTCTGGACTTGGACCTGGACCAAACAAACTGTTTGGGGTCAACGCTGGTCCAATTGGTTTTAGACACACTCATGCGAGACCAGGGCCACTCCCAGCCATTGAAAGTAGAGGACCAACCCGCAGGGCTCAAATTTCCATCCCAACAAACGATTGGATGTACACGCGGAAAGCGCATCAAGGTCAGCAGGGAAAACACACTAAGTTGTTGTACTGATCTTTCTCCTCTCTGCGTAGAGATTTTGTTGCATGTGACGTGAATTCACATCACTTTCATATGCAGAATATGTCAGAATATTGTCCGTGTCCGCATCATCCAGAGATGATACACACTGCACATCCTCTGACACATCTTTGGATTTGACACTTGTACCTTTTGCATGCTTGACTTTGAGTCTGGACCTCGAGGTGCAGTTTATTCCTGGTGATGATGTCGTTTGTGGACGAGATAGCCGGCTGGAGCGTCGAGAGGCCACTTGAACATGTCAAAAGTGCATAAAAGTGCGCAAAACATTTATCATTGCAGGACTTTTTCCATGTTCCATCAGCTTTGCCAGTGAAGTGGGACATGTTCAATCCTTCAAACTCAGCACGCCGTGGTTTGGCTGTGATCAATACCCAGAGTTTGATAGCAATGTACAATTGTATATTCTATGTATATATATATATATATATCGTTTTGAAAGTTGAGAGGTTCTCGTCCTCTCCGTGCGATCCAATCCCGAACGGGCCTTGTCGGACAAAGAGATGCTAGCCACTGGGCGGCAGGGAAGCCGCAGGAACATTTGTTCAGTTTTATTTGGACTTGTATGATTCCTGAGCTTCGTGGTAGGACATGATCAGGCTTGATAACTACTACAGGGAGCAATGAGATGACACAGTTGGTGACACTTTCACAGGGTAGTGCCTTTGTGGGCTCAAGAGAGCATACTTTGTTTCTTTGCAAGCCTGGTTATTAGGTGCAGAACGAACTGAGCAGTCGATCATTTTGGCCTGTGCAAGGACGCTACTGTTTTGCCCTTCACAGAGATGTTCAGGTTCGATGGATGGAACATGCCTATGTTCACTACGTGAAACCCATCGAGGCGGGCCTGGTGGCCCCCCTGAGTGGGCCTGCTGGACTCCTTCATGGGTTGCCTGTGCTTTGAACATCTCCATTTTGCAAGTACCGCCCGGGAGTTTCTCCGCTGCTCAGGATGTTGTGAATGTGTATTCGTTGCAAGAAAGCAGTAGCGACTGGGTTCCAGAGCCTCGGCGATTTCTCTTTCTCATGGGAACGCTACCAAATCTTTGGAGTATTGGATAATCCTCGTTGGCAGACATACTCATCTCACGGGTCCCAAGACCTGTACATCCATCAGATGTGCAGTATTTGCACGAGAGGCATGATCCTGAAAAGTGCCTTTATGTGGTGAACATTGTACTTTGTTGAGTCCATTTGGGCCTGTGGGTTTCCTTCTTCGAGGAATGGAAGTTTGAAAGAGTGAAGCCATGAAGCTTGGCCGAAAACAGAGTCAGGTCAGTGGGGTCATACAGGTGCCTCAGAGAATACAGTCCCAATCCACTTTTGGAAGCATTGTCTTGAAACTGTATTTGGGTGACTGGTTTTAAGTGATGTCACTGTCCAAACTGAGCTCTAGAACAACTACTGCTTCAAGAGGGGCCATGGCAGGCAAGAATGCAAGCGCCACTGGGCAGGGCTTCTACTTGGAAAGACATGCCTTGTACAACATCTTGGCCGACGCCAAGCTTTGGTCTCAAACGGCTCTTCGCGCACCTAGATTGCATGTCGCTAATGCACCATGATTTCGATGTCGAGGACCTCGCGAATCTGAGTTGGTCAAAACCCAAGTAACTCAAGCCCTTCAGATTACTAGTGATAGTTTACTTGGTCTTCTGTTTTGCAGGTTTTGCACAGACTTGATTGACCGAGCTGTTTCTTGAGCTTGCGGATCCAGGTTTACATGATCACAGGACCTCCTGGCGTTGGGAAGTCCGAGTTCACCATTTGGATTGCAGGCGCTTCTTGTAGATCAGGTGGCCGAGCCAAAACTCGAAGACAACCGGCAGCCAGATGGCTCGAAAACGAAAGACTTACAGACCCTGTTTGGTGGTACCCTGTTAAAACCCATCGATGTACAAGTGGACGCTTGACAGACCCAGATGCAACCCCCGAACCTTAGCTTCTCTGTCTGCTATCTTTGTGCAAGATCGAACCAGGATTTGGGGATTTGGCGGGACCGGTCTCACATTTCTTGCACTTGGCTATGTGTCACTTTTCATGGTAGTGAAGCTTTAGCTTTTCGTCCAAGACCCTCCACTACACACACACACAACAAAGTCATACTGCAATAAAGACTGAGGGTTCACGGTGCTTTGGGGGGTTGTAATCTCAAGTGTCACAGTGTCACAGAGGCTCATCATGTTGTGGCAGACCAGGGGACCAGCCCCACTGACTACTGCCTGAGAACTGGTGTTTAAGAATTCCGATGTGTGTCATAGTTCCCGAAGCTGTGGTGTTCGTGGTGGCAGGGCAGCTTGGAATTCCAGTCTACCGACTCTGTTTGTCGAGCCCTCGCTTATCTGATGATCGGCTGGCACAGTGCCTTGGAGGTAGCCCGAAGAGTCCGGAGTCTTTTGGGAGAATCTGGCAATACGTAGGAGCAAGAACGCTACTAGGGGCTCCTGGCTTCGCTACTAGGAACAATTGCCTTACTACTAGTAACAAGAATTAGAATAGAATTTTGCTTATACATACTGTTGTTTCTTACCTTTAACGTATTAGTTTCTTAAAACACAAGAAGCTATCAGCATAAGGCAGAAGGATGCTTCAAAGGCCAGAAACATGGGGGTAGATGGTGGTTGTTTGGGGGTTATGGATTTCAGACTCTTCAAGACCAGACAGCCACTTGCATGAAAAGAGACACACTACCAGGATGTGACCAACGCTCAAAATGTTATGGTCACATATAAGTCATGTTTTGCTTCAAAATGATCGGTTTAAACCGGGAGCTCGAAATGAAAGAAGTACGCAGGTGAAATACGATGAAACGCTGCCGATTCTGCTTCAGTCAATGCCCTCACCATGCACAGGAGAAGGAGCTAGCCCGAAAGCTCGCAAAACACACCCTAACCACCAAAGTCACCAGTTTTTGCGTTCACATTTTGCCAGGTGTGACACTAGCGTTTGGCACCGGGGTGGAAAGGCATGGGACAACTGCTCTGCCTGTGCTCTGCCTGTAGCGACAAGACTTGAAGTCCCTCCTCCACAGCCATAACGAAGTGGCTATTCCAAATGCTCAGCGGCCGATCTACCTGCTGAGGCTTTTCTCCCAATCAGCGATCTCCTTTAACTCGATCTTGGTGCAGGCGTGACAAGATTTCACCGTGCTCTTCGGAACGGACAACGTTGTTTTTGCGTTTGCTTTTAACTCACATTTCCACATTGGTAAGCAACTCTGACATGAAGGGAAATTGGGGCGCCACGGATTGATTCAGTTGATTGAAACCCATCAAGTAGCGAGCGGAGTGGGAAGTGACGAAGTGACCAGAGTCAGACGGATCCAAGCGAAGCAGCGAAGCCAGCGCGCTGTGCGTCTGGCTTTTGCCCGTTTCGCTCCAGAGGTGGACGAGTTCCAGGAGACATTGCAGGGCTGGTTGAAGAGCGACGAGAAACGCCACTCGGGTGTCTCCGCGGGCGGTTTCTGCCACTTGGACCCAAGTGATTGAGAACATGGCTGTGACTACCCCGGTTTGGTTGTTTGATTGGAAGTTCTTGTAAGAATGGGTTTATGGTTTGGCCACTCCACATGTGTTTTTCATTTGGATTTATCTATATTGGCCGCCGCTTCCTGCAACATGTTTAGCACAGCACGTGTATCCCGCTGCTAAAGCGGTTTCGTTCGAGATGGCTGCCACCAAAGTTGGGAAGACCCAGAAGGAGCACTGCTTCTTGTGTGGCCTCCCAGTGCCCCCCCCAGTGCAGTGGAATTGACTTTGGTGGAGGACAGGAACTCCATGGATTTCCTAAAGAATTGAGTGTGTGGGGGGCTAGCAATGTCAGAAGCCGTCGCAGCAGACCGAGCATTGAGGCGAGATGCTCCAAGGCTCCACCAGCATGTCTCGCGGTGTCGCATCTCGACTTGTCAAAGCTTCACTGAAATTCTTCGAGCAGTGCACACCTGTGCAAGCATAAGTGACCAACAGTGCTTCGTGACCTAAATGCCATCGCTGAGGTCATCATCACAGGCACATCCGAAATAGTTGCTGATTGCGTAAAGAGAAGGCTCCCTGCGGACCCTTGGCTCTGTCGTTTGGGACTGTTCGATCGATTGGGATTCAACGGTCCTCTCCCATAGCCATGAGATGCCAAGAGATGACGGCGATGTGCGAAAACAAAACCCGGTCAATGCTCAAGCACCCCCGCTCGATGGAACACCCTGAGGTCTTTCGACGGATCCATTCTACAGCGGAGCTGGGCTGGATGAATCCTGAAGACATCGGACAATACTTTCGAAGATTCCTGTGTGGCTGCTAGTTTTCTGTTAGCCCGTGGCCCTGCCTCCTTACTTAATTAAAGTAGGCATCAGTTAGGTACTTGACGCTCCTAGCTACTCGACGCAGGATAGCTCACGCTTTTTCAAGGAAGCTCCTCCCGCCTAAGGGCGGGGGCAGTTTCCTTGAAGAAGCGCTTGCACTATTCATTTGGTTTCTAGATTTTTAGGGAAACTGTGGTGAGTTTGCGCTAGCCAGCAAGTTGGTTCGGAGATTGTGCTTGAGTGAAGTTACGTGAAGTTCATTGCGTCTCTCAACTTAACCCCTCCCACTCGACCTAAATGCTGCTATGTCCGACTTCGATGTGGGTATGGTCTTTTTCTAGGCTTGCTTTTTTCTAGGCTTGCTTTGTTCGATTGGGGTGTGAAACATGGGATGGACACGAACGTGAGGGGTTCACCATTGGTCTTGATCACTCTGGCCCAGCGTCCGTGTCCCCGAGGCTTTATACCCTCGTGCACAGCAGAAGAGTGGGAAAGTGTCTTGGAAGTGCTTAGAGTGAAGGTTTTGATTGGATTTGCACCCCTCTGTCAAGGAATCCAAGATTTGTCAGAGCTTTTAGACAGTTCAAGAACCAATTGTCACTGCGTAGATGTCCAACTAATTTTTAATTTCTTGGTCCCACAGCCTTCTTCAATAGTGCTGCTTTTTGGGCGGATGATGTGCTCCAGGCTGGCAACGAACATTCTTGGAGGTGGAATCTTGGTCAGGCAGCAGACATGTCTCCATTGACATGCTCCAGCAATATCTCATGCATCAGATCACCGAGACTTGGCTTCCAGTTGTAGGAGTAAATGCTGCTTCTGGTTTTTGATGGGGACAACTTGGAACGGTGGAGTGGAGTCTTGCATCGGATAAGCTTTCCGCATCCTGGCTGCGGAGTCGGAACACAATCCTTGCCAATTCCATTGGTCTTCCGCTTATCGCTAAAGGAGTGAGATACCTGTTCCATGTCTCCTTGCTGGGACAGTGGAAATTCGAGAACTATTCGCTCTAGGGCAAGTGAAGCAGCCACTAGTGTGTGCTGGAAAATTATTGAGAAAAGGCTGGGCCATTGAGCATCAAGATTGCGGCCCTTGTTTAGGAGCTGGGGAGAATCGACTTGGAATTTAACATTGGTTTAATGATCCTTGCCTAATGCCCATTGTTACTAATAGCGATGCCCTTGCTACTGGTAGCCTAGCCTGAGATGGTTTTTCAGTGTTGGTTTTCCAGCACCGAGCAACTGCAATCTTCGCGGGGTCCAAGGAATGCAGTTGCTTGGGCTACGGCCGGCAGCTTGTCTGGCTTTCAATCCACATTCAGCTTTTCAGTATGAGCCACAACCTAGAACATTGGCATTCTTATCTCAGTTGGTGGGACTTTGTTGGCTTCAGGACCCTTTAATGTGTGTTCATGGCCGACATCTTTGCAGCCAAGGTTTGTTGTGAACGACAGCAAGTTCATCTTCAGGGTCAACGACGAGCACATCCAACAGGTCTTTTTGAAGATGTGCCGCGCTTGCATGCATGGGCGAAAGAAACTAGGAACATTCTCTTTTGTGCTGACTCGCTGGCACATGGTGAAGAAACTGTTCCACAAAAGTCAACATCTTTGTGCAACCGTATTTCTGCCAAGTCACACAAGAACAAACAGGCAAAATCCACTTGCTAGAACTCCTGGTGCCTAGCCCCTTCTTTTGAGATCCTTTAAGACACGACTTTCATTTTCTGTGCTCTTTTTTTACATCATGTTTCTCGTCGCTTGACCATTCTTTGCATCAGGGCTTTCCTGTCCAACCCATAAGGAGCGGCCCTTGCTTTAGACAACTTTCTGGACCGACAATCTGCTGCAGGACATGGCAATATGGATTCGTCATGGAACCCCAGAAGAACCCCGTTTGCTTTCAAGCCAAGGACGCACTTTCCTTCCGAGTAGCAACACACGGTACCAGGGTTTTTTCTTGGTCTATCTATAGTTTTCCACCTTCTTGACTGTAGATGTGTTCGTCTTGTGTCCAGGTGCAACGCCCAAGATGCAAAGATCTTCTTGGACGACTATTCACCTGTTGCACTTGTTCAAAAAAGTTTGCTGTCTGAAGCATAGACAGCCAATAGACTGAGTTTACATGTTTTCGTGGAATTCCTGAAGTCTTGTACTAGTTTCTCCTTCCAGATTCCAATAGCTGCTTGAGACACTGTGTGAATATGATTGACACAACGGGAATCCCATGACTGTAAATATGTGGAAGTTCCGACGGAAGGCTTTCCAGAAGCTTGAGTTAAGAGGCCTGGAGCTGCCTCAGTCCATACGCAGGAACCAAAGATGGACCTGGGCTGAAAGAAGTTGATCATTCTGTCAAGCGCAGCAAGACATTTTTTGGGTCCTCAAGCTCCATGTTCAAAAGAGGACACTAGCACCACCGAGTTTGGCAACTTCTTTCCATCGGATCGCAGTTTGGGTTCAACTTGAGCAACCACAGAGCTCATATTGAAGCATTGATTCTTGTCTTTGGAGAAGAACCGCCACGAATAGCCGCTGGTCCCAAAGGACAGACATAAAAAAAGGCACCTACGGCAATAAATGAAAAATAGTCGACGCCCACCAAGAAAACTGGGCACGAAATGACATGAAGTGACGATAGGCCAACTGGTCCAGAAGAGGAAGATACAGGTAAAGCCGACCCACAACACGATTCATAGGGGGAATGTCACGCGCCTGGATCGTTGAAGTTGGAACCTGGCATACCATGGCCGCCTCATTGATTTATCGGAATGTGTTGCCTTTTGTTTGGGAAGAATTCAGACAAACACAACCTACAACGTACTGCGTATGTTGAACACTGCACCGGGCATGGGGCCTCATCTTCATCCCGGACCTTGTGGTGACGTGCATTCTTCGGTGCGGCAGCCGGTTGAAGGAGATGAAGGCACCACTTTTACATAACTCTTTTCTTGTCTTATATAAGCCGATCTTTTTAGAATATTTTCTCTTTCATCCTTTCTTCTCATTTTTTTCTTTCTTTATCTTTCTTTAGTTTCTTTTATTTTCTTTCTTTCTTCCTTCCCTCCCTCTGGTGTTCGTTGTTTGGGAGACAACATCAAATCATACCGATCCTCCGAAAGCACGGCTTGAGATGGAGTCTGCTGTATAGTTGACATCCAAAGTGGAGACAACACAAAAGTCGCCACCTGCAATGACTGCTTTGCCTGTTGTGGCAATCATAGATTTGAAAACGACAGATCGCTTGATGACATTTTGGGTCTGTGTTCGCTCAAGCGACTCTAGTCATCCTCCATTGCCAATAATCGCCGTGCTTGATCTTGGGACGTTCTTGATCTTGGGACTGGAGTTTCTCTAGAGTGATGTTGTCCAGTCTGAAGCTCGCCAGGCGAAAATGAGGCGTCTCGGCTTCCTGGGCTGCGTTTGGAGCCTGCAGAGCCGTCATCAGGTGCAAAGACGGGCTTAGTGCACCTGAAAAAATCGGAGCATGAAGTGACACCGGGTAGAACTGTGATCGAAGAAGTACCTGCAGTGAGGTTGAAAGAAAATATGCGTCCGCAGATTGTATCCCACCATTTGCAGACAGACATGCCCAGCGTCAGTCGTTTATCGAATACAGCGACACCTGATCTTGCCCTCGTTGGCCAGGTCAGTCTGGTTCCGTTCTTTATGCCAGGCGACCGGTTGTCAGAGTCTGGCATGTATTCTGTGATCCTGCAAGTGTGTTGGGGTCCACTAACTTCTAAGCACTTTAGCCCCACTATGTTGTCGCAGTTGCGGCATCCAGGCCGAGTGAGCCAGGTTGGCGGCATCGCCCCTCGTGCAGTGGCCTCAGCATGGACGTGGCTTCACAAGGAAGCAAACTTCCCATGCTGATCTGGACATGGCTATTAGGTTGGAGGCCATCGCTAGGTTCACCAAGAAGACTTTGAGAAACACTAAGGCGCACCCAAAGTCAGCTGCTACGAGTCTGCAGGATCCCTGAGGGACGAGTTTAGACGAGAGATGATAGGAGTGAGATTGAGAGTGACTCAGACTGAGCATGTGATTGGGAGTGCAAGTGCTGTTGTGATGGGAGAGGACCTGAGCTTTTTTGAGCACTTCCCACAGCGTTTGATGGCAACTGTGAGTCGAAAGGTGGGGAATTCTTGACACTACAGATTTAGACGCTTGCCAAACTTCCAGCCGTGTCGGGTGCCAGGCATCTTATGGACTTTGGGCTGATGTGACTAGCCCCACTGGAGAAGAGGCAACCGGTTTGATCCACTTGTCGGAGATGGATCAGGCGCCGATGGACGCTACGATGTTGAAACCACCGAGAGAGGTCGGTGAGAACGAAAGCAGATGTTCTTGACTTTTGCATCAAGATTCTATAAATGAGGGCCTGCCACCAATGCTGCCCACTTGAGAGCAACGTTCCGTTGGTCCGTTTCGGTCATGGGACCTCAGTGTATTATGGTTTAGGGTTTAGATTATTGGAACTCCGGTCTTTGTGGGGTTTTGCTAGCCCAGGATGTGACTTTTGCAAGTCAAGGATGTTCAATACATTTGCAACAGGCGTGAGGAAGAAGTCTCTAGAAAGTTTTAAGGTAGAGAAACAAACAGAGGTCCCAAGTCACTTCGTTTGGCATTACTTTTCTGTTTGTTTGGAGTTTGGAGATTACTGTACTGCAAGGTCATCACAATGATTTCTGTCGTCAAAGCTGCTTTCAATGAGCCACACAAGCGCAGCACCGTGCAGCGCTTGCTGTGTAGCCGATGTTGGCTCGCAGGAGCTTGACGCTTTTGAGGTCGGTCAGGAAGTGCTTGTCGGGAGATCTCAGGTGCTTCGATGTTTTGGGGCCAGAACACCTTGCTTTGGTGGGTTCGAGGCCATCGCCCTTATTTCCAAGTCTTTTGAAAACAGATGTGTCAGGAAGCATCAAGATACAGGAACCTTGTTCTTTTTTCCTGCCCGGTGCTGAGGTAGATGTGGTGTACGTTGAGAAAGAGAGGCGGTTTTATTCCGCTCACTTCTACAACCATTTGTCAATGACATTCTAAACCACCTTTATCGGCCACTCAACCACTGGTCTATTGCTCCGCTGAATATGACCCGGAATTTGGTCTTAGGGCAAACTACCTCATTTTTGAAACTCTTCTTGGTCTTGGAAAGACTAAACAAACAAATCCATTTGGCCTTAGAGTGGAATCAAGAACGCCTAGTCAGAGGTCAAAACATGCGACACATGCCGTGGTTTAGAGGCCTCAGGCCTCAGATGGACGTCTCCCGCTAGGGACAGTCCAGGGACAGGAACAAGAATACAATTGCAATTCAAAGGCATTGCAAATGTATTGCGAGTGCCTTGTATTTCTTCTTAATTCTTTTCTATTTAGATCATTCTTCAGAAGAACTGCTATTGAAAGACCTTTCGGTTTTTTGCAGGGGTCATTTGGGCTTGTCCTTGCCGCGGCGCTCCTGCCAGAAGCTCAACAGCTACTTGTAGTCATAGGTCGAGAGTCAGACTTGTGACCCAGGGAGCAGCTCCAGTGTCGCAGATTTCGAGGCGCGGCAAAACACAGATGCTACTAGTAGCAAAGGGCATCGCTACTAGAAGCAAGGGCCTTACTACTAGGAACAAGCAGCTAGTAGAAACAATATATAAATTAGAATTGAAATTGGTAGTAAAGGAGGCTACTAGGACCTTTTCTAGTCTCGTGAACAAAGACAACGCGCCCTTTCTTCGAACACAAATGCCTGAAGTCGTGTTGACATGTTCGATGTTCTCACCGAACGGACTCCCCCTCTCGTGCTCTACGAGATCATGGGGCACTGAAAACTGGGGCTCAAGGCAAAAGGTTCATGCTCTTGGCACGGTAGTATTCAGCACGCGTTTTCTCCAAACTCCAGCCCTTATTGGCATTTTGCCGCTGGAATCGGTTCCATGGGTTGGCCGGCTCCTCCTCACTGGTCCTCTGGATCGGCCGGACCGTCGGTGAGGCCTTCGACTTGGCCATCAGCGCACACTGAAGCATGGAAGTGGCCGCTTCAGCACTCAGCGCAGCTTGACTGGCCGCGGCAGCAGCTTGCTGTGTATTCACCGCGGCGCGCTCAGCACCTTCCGCTGCCTGGCTTGCAGCTTGCACGGCATCATCAGCAGCCTCGCTGGCTGCTTGCAACTCAGCTGAGTCGCTTTCATTCGATCTCCTTCTCATCGTCCGCGATGAAGTGCCGTGGTGCGAGCCCGATCGCCGCCTAGATGACTTGGACGTAGACCTTCTCCGCGTCATAGGAGTTCTTCCTTCTCGATCATCACGATCATCGCCAACACTTGGCCTTGCAGCTCGCCTTCTTCGAATGGCTTGAGCTTCCTCCTCCGTCTCCTCCTCCGTCTCGGTGGCTTCAACCCCCTTGTCCTGGTCTGCCCTCCCCCACGAACGTGCCCGCCTGGATCGCAAGGAAGTAGTATGGGCCCCTTCATCAGCTTCAGGCAGGTCCGATGAACTGGGTGGCTCACCAGTGACTCCATGCAATCGGCGTAGGCAACAACCAAAAGAACTTACGGCCGCCTTCGCCACCCAGATTGCCCCAATGAGCACTAGCACTATGCCACACAACATCAAACTTCCAAAAACTGCATCGGAGTCCTGACTTCCTCCAGCTTCAGCTGCACGAACCAGGGCGCTCCCAGCCACAATTGCTCTCACAGCCAACTGATGGTCTGGTACAGGAGGAGCGTTTTGACCAAGCTTCAGGCTGGCCACTTTCACTTCAGGAGGCTTCAAACCCAAATCACCAAAAAAACCTGCGAAACTCTGGCCAAGGAGCGGCTTCGTCATGCCGTCGGCCACAAGCTCAGTGCCACGAAGATGGGCCAGCTTCCAACAGCCACCTGGATACGAGCCCTGCTCATCAAGTGCCTCCTTCAGGATGTTGGACCTCACACGCAAATGCCGGGTCCTCCAGGATGTAGCACTATTGCCGTAGGCGAGGCTGATGGCTGCGGCATTATCACCATAGATGACCCGCTCGAAGACATTTGAATTGTCCAGCGGCTCCCCCCACATGGCGCACAGCAAGGCTTCCGTTGCACGACCTGTGCATAGAGCTTCACAGTAGGAAACCAACTCTGCTTCCGCTGTGCTGTGGGTCACAAACGGTTGGGTGGCACTTTGCCATGCCACAGGAGCTCCAGCGAAACAAATCACTAGCCCTTGCACGCTTCGGTGATTGGAGCCAGTGCCGTACGCTATGTCGGCGAACACCTCCAGTAAGCCTTCATGCCGTTGGATCTTGAGCTGATCCCTTGACCCCCATTTCTTCTTGATCTTCTGGGGATAGTGCAAATCGCCAGGGGTGCCCTTCACATAGGCAAGCAAGGACTGGCCGATTTCGATGGCCTTTGCAGGATTGCGAGTCACCAACCGACTGAGGGCCGCCACACCGTAGGCCAAATCTGGCCGTGACCTGGTTGAAAGCCACAAAAGGGACCCTGCAAGAGCTTGTGCCTCGCGAATCTGCACCTTGTCCACCGAATCTGGCGGTTCCATGTCGGTCTCACTGACCTTGAAGTTCGGGAAGGTTGAGGCTTCCTTGACATTCCAGCGTGTGAGGATCTCCTGCTCATACTTCTGCTGTGACAAATGAAAACCATCACCATGCTCATCGGCAGAGATTTCAAAGCCGCAGAAGTGGACAGGAGAGGTAGGCGTTGCTTTCTCCACGCTGGATGTAGTCCAAGTGGCCTGCAAGGATGTCAGGGCTGCTGAGACTGCACTGTCTTCGCCGCTGATGAGGATGTCATCAACATAGACAGACATCAAACCTGTCCAATGATTCTCGCCAGTCTCCGTGTCAGCCTCCTCCAACCGCCACAAATTCTCATCAGCTGTTTTGACGAAGTAGCCCCTGACATTTCGCCCTTCTCTTTCCCGCACCCAACTGACCATTGGAAGAGTGCGGTCTCTGTATTGCGACCAGTCTCTTGGAGACGTTGTGAGGCCGTACATTGCTAGTTTGACCAGCCACACTTCACCTTCTCGGGCGAGGCCAAGGCGCTTGTAGACACTGGGGATCTCCATTGCCACCATCTTTCCATCCTCCCTTCTTGGAGCGTTCAAGAAAGCGACTCTGATGTCGGTTGCTGCCAGCGTCCACCCCTTCAAAGCCGAGGTGCGGACCAGAGCTCGCACTTGGCAGCCATCAGCTCCTCCAGCGTAGCAATCTCCACTGAACCTGGATTCGGAGTAATTGCCACAACATACAGCTCTTGCCCGACGTACTCCAGCTCCTGCTTTGCGGGTGTACACCATCTTGGCCGGAGAAGCTCTATGGTTTTTCCTTGTGCTTCTGCTCGTTGGTGGAGCTCTCGCTTTGTGACTTGCTCCACAGCTTCCTTTGTTTTGACCAGCTGGTTGTACTCGGCCGTGATGGATGGGACCCAATTCTCAAAGTCATCCCAAACCTCCTTGCTGCCGACAGTCCTCGTGACCAGGAACTCCTCCTCCAGCTCTTTGGTCGCAAGTTCATCCACGTCACGATCATTCTGCAGGAGCATTTCTTCCACCTCCACCTTGTACATGATGGCCTCTGACAGGACTTCCAAATAGCAGCCTTGCTCCGGGATGGTGACGTCCAAATGTCCCATTTCTTCGGACACATAGGCAGCCAAGTTTGCCTGCAATGCTTTCAACAGCTTGATCTTATGGTGAAGATGTTCTCCAAGGGTTCCTTTCCGCGGGGTCACCGGGCTTGAGCCACCGCACCGGTTGTTAGGCACCCCCTCCGCATCCCCTCCGCCGAGAAGATCCACCACCGGAAAACCTGAGCTGGTTGAACCCCTTGGATGCCATCCTCACCTGAACTTGAAGAGCTTGTCCTCTCAGGCGTTTCGATCGTCCAGCTGTCACTGCTGACCTCCAAACTGAAGAGGCGAACATCATTTGGCATCATGATCTCAAAGCTGTCACGATGGTCACAAAGCCACCGCTGCCACCAACTTGCAAATTCACGATGGTCACATAGCCAGCGGTGCCACCAACTTGAATTGACCCCACCACCAGTCTCCCCCTCCATGTGGATCATGGAGACTTGTGGTATCGCCGTCTTTTCTCTCAACCGGCGTCGTGGAATTGCGCCATGCCACATAGGCCGAGGAGCGGCATCACCAATCTCCGGAAGGTGCGCAATCGCATCATTGGCCTCAGGTTGATCGGCCGAAGGGATCACCACATCATCGGTGTAGAAGTAGCGATGCGAGGTCACCGACTGGACATAGTAGCTGGTAGTAGTCAATGAGGATTGAACTGCAGGACCCAAAATGACCACCTCATCACGAACTTCACGCCACGGCTGGTAGCGCTCCTGCCATGACTTCTTCAGAGCAAAGGCTTTTGCCCCAAACTTCAGCAACGGGCCAGAAGGAAAGCCCAGACTTCGCAACTGACCACGAAGTCTGCGTTCGCCAATGTGGATGGCGGCTAGTGGCCATTTGTCCAAGCCCACTTCCGTGGCCGCAACCACCGTGCGGATGTGCTTCTTGACCACACCCAACTCTCCCTCCACCCTGCCATTCGTCTTGAAAGATCCCCCTGTTGTGAGGGTTGTCACGATGCCCCGGTCCAGCGTCCAGCGGCGTACCGGAGCAGAGATCAGTTCCCGGGCCCTGTCACTGTGAAGCCTGTAAATTGGAAGGCCTAGGCTTCGGAGCCTCGCATAGATGCGAGCCAAGGCTTGAAGGATGTTGTTCACAGCGCGGCCATTGAGCACCTCCACAAAGGTCAAATTTCGCACGGCCACGTCCTTGGAGTCCTCCACCAACTGATGCCAGGAGTCAAACGAGGCCTGACAGGCTCGCACCGCCGCGTCCTCCCCCTCATTCGGAGCTTCTTCAACCGGCTCCTCTCTCAGCAGGGCATCTCCGGGGTCATCTCCGTTGAGATCAGGCTGAGGATACTCCAGATCATCACTAGGTGGCAGGTCATGATCCGCCTGCCCTTCCAAAGGAAAGCCACCTTCCATCTCAGCCAAGGGACGTCCAGCACGGTCCACGGGGAACGTGTACACCGCAATCATCATGTACTTGCAGGATTGACGGCTTTGATCAAAGCCAGGCACCATCTTGCCAGACAAGTCCACGCTGAGAGTGTAGGCCTCAGGATGCACGATGCGCTTGTGGGGCTTGCTTCGGGCAGCTGAGCGAACACAATGCTTGCAATCTCGCCTGGCCGGCATGTGGTCGTTCTGGTAGTGCTGCTTCCAGCTATCAAGAACCGCCGGAGTCAAAGGCCGAAGTGCAGCTTCCAACGAGGGCGTAGTGCCACGGTTCAACCAGTCTTGCAATGCCAAGACCAAAGCAACTTTGAGGCCTGGAGCCCATGCCGCCCACGTTTTGGAGTCATCACACTTCTCCTTCATGGTCATCTGGCCACGATCTTGAGCTGGTTCTTCTGGATTGGTGCCGCTTGGAGGGCCACGAATTCCGTCCAGGATGTTGATGTCCCGGAGCACCACTGCCAATGTTGTTGGCTTCCTTTTTGTGTGACCCATTGGGCCTTGGTCAAAGTGGAGCCTCTTGACTTGGTAGGTCTCCTCAAAGTTCTGCCATTCTTTGGTGCGCCAGATCGACATGAACTGCTTATCACGCACCTCCTCGGCTGGCCTGTAACGGGCCGGATCCTCAGGCTGTTCCGCAGCCAATGCAGTTTGCAACTCTTGAGGAAGACGAACGTTCTCACAAAGAACATAGAGGGCCAGCATCCTATACAGCAACACGCTGTCACCAATCACCAACTCCAAATCCGAAGCCGTCAAGGTCGGCAAGCCGTAGGGACGCTGCTCCGTCCTCAAAACACCAGGTCCACCATCATCTTGATACCTCAAGGCTGAGACCGTGCGGCATGGAGGTCCGCCTATGATGGTCTTCACGCGGCCGGATGCTGCCAGGGAGAGGAGGTACAGGTAGGTCTGATCGTCATGAAGATCAGCTGAAACCTCGCTCTTCAAATCCACGCACAAGACCTCATTCCCGTCCTTGTTCAAAGTCTTTTCCCAGTACTTGCTATCAGGACCGGAGAACAAATGAAGTACGATCTTCTTGGCACGATCCAACCGGCGGCGTGTCCGCCTGTTCCAAGGCACACGATGGCCATCAAAGCTCTGGCCTTCTTGTAGCTGCGACATGTCGGGGACGATGCGCATCAAGATCTCCTCCGGCAAAGAGGGGAACAATGCCTTCAACTGAACCGTCAAAGCCATCTCCAAGGAGTCCGGCATTTCCGCCAGTGCACCACTGTGGGGGGTTTCCATCAAAGTCTTGACCAGCAGCGCCTTCTTGAGGAAGTTGGCCTGTCGACGTTCCAGCTGATCGATCATCTCTTGACCACACTTTCGGTCCACCATCGGGCAGCCATGCTGAATCACCACCTCGAGCTGTTGGCCCTTGTTGTCACGAAGACTGCGTTGCGATCCCTTCCAATCGAACTTGTAGCCGAGCTCCGCAATGCCTCCAAGGGGGACAATCCATGAGCTTCCAAAGGCGTCATCATCCGGAGCCGAGAGCAGGACCTTGGTGCCAGCCTTCAACTTCAACTTGTCCGTGACACCATCGGCCAAAGTCACCTGAGTTGGCATAGCTTGTGCCCATTCAACTTGATCTCGAGCAGGCCGCAAAGCATGCGTAGCGCCCGAGTCCAACAGGACCAGCTGACCGCTGGGATCGTGCTCAAGCTGGCTGATCTTGATGACCCGTAGTTGAGGTGCCCTCAAAGATTTCAGCAGCTTCGTTGCTTCCTGCAACAATGTTTCACTTGTAGTTGAGGTAGCTCCTGTCTCACCACCTCCGCCACCTCCGCCCTTCGACACACCCTCCGCCGGCTGCGCCTCTGGGTTCGGACTTTGTTGATGTCCTTCAGAGCTCAACTCCATCTCCTGCAACTTGACCACCGAAGGCTGTGCGCTCCCCCCACCACCAGCACCATTTGAAGACTTGCCAGCACCGCCAGGCTTTCCTCCCCCTGAGCCCTGTGAGGGCTCACCCGTGCCTTTGCTAGGTGAGGTGAATTGCGTCTTGCCTTGGGACTTCAACTTGCAGTCAGACTTTCTGTGGTCTTTTCCACCGCAGATCCAACACCTGGAGGCCTTGTCGTCGACCCCCTCCCACGAGTGTGACCACTTGCAATTCTTTCCAGCCTTGCAGCCACTGTCGGACCTGAAATACTTGCAGGGCGTAGTTGACATGGCCCCACCCTTGCCTCTGCTGTCATCGGCAACCCGTGTGGCTGTAGCTGACTTGTCCTGTGCCTCCATCTGCTTCACCTTGATGGGCGATGAAGTGGTCGTATAGGGGCTGTGCTCATCAACACCAACGTCTCGACCTCCGCCAAGAGGCATTGACTGAAGCGCCAAACCCCATCATGATGCGGAACTTGATCCACACCAAGCTGCAGCCTGCTCTGGGCCAGACGAAAAGCTGCCTGGGCATCCAAGTTGGAGATCTTGATCACTGCCGCCTCCAGCGCCTTCAGCAACAAGGTGCCATCTGGCAAAACTGCACCAATCTCCCGGGCCCTTGCAAAGTGCCTCCGCCATGACCTCAGCGCAGCAGCCCATTCTGTAACCGTAGTGGCCTTGTCCAAACTTGTCAACTTGGCCAGCAAAATCGACTTCTCGCCTGCACCGCCAGGTTGAAACCTCACCAGAAGCCGATACAGGAGTGCCGTGGATGTCAATTCACGATCCGTGATCAAGGCCTGCTGCTGGTCCACAGGGATGGCCTTGAGGAGAAGGTTCACACCTCTCTGTTCCGTCCGGTGGTACCGAACATCATTCAACTCATCAGGAAGGCGAGGCATGATCTGGATCCGCTCGAGTGGAGATGCGGTCTTCCATCGATCATAGTAGCGTTGCGCCTCCCTCAACGTCAAATTCCACCACCGCGCTGACACCGCGGTGATGTCTCGAAGCACCGGCCCGCAAACCGCGAGCCAATCACCAAGCTCCAAGGGCGAAGCGTCCGCCGCCAACGTTGCAAGCTCAGCCTTGCTTCCACCTCCTTCAGTCCATGGCAAAGGGGCCGGAGATGAAGGAGCATCCCCTCGCCAGCGACCGTAGTTGTGCTCTCCGGCCGCATCAAGGCTTGAACCATGGTCCATGGAGCCACGATCGGGATGACATTCGATGCCACGTCCACAATCACCACCTGGCCACCCTCCGGGACCACAAGCAAACTCTCGGAGGCCAGGACCTCGCAGGCCAACAGTGCCTCCATAACCAGCATGCGCAGCTCCATCATCAAACCGCGGCGGAGCCGGAGGTGCTTCTTGCGAGCTTGAAGGCCCCAAAAACGAAGCTCCTTGGCGCATGCACCCCATCTTCTCTCTCAGCTCAGCCACTTCTTGCTCAAGTCGCGAAGCCCGCAACTCATGAGCATCGAGTGGCATCATCACCCTCCCTTCTCTCAAGCTGAGGGGCAACCATTGTTGATCACCATGACGGCGTCGATGAGCATCTAAAAGCTCATAGCCCTGCAGGTCACTAATTTCAGCCGAGGTGCAAGACGTTGGGAACGGTGGCATAGGCACATCCATGCTAGTCGCCGCTCTTGGTGGGGAACCAGCAGGAATCTGCGTTCCATTTGGGGTGAACCGGACATCACCTTGCCCTTGATGTCCACGTCGTGACTGGCTTCGACCCCGTGGAGTGTGTGGTGGTTTCACTCCTACTCCAGTGCTGGTTCCAGGAAGATCACCGCCACAAACCTTAACATGTTGACCAGGTACATGACCTTCAGCATGACCAACATGGGTTCCCTTCTTTTCCAAACCCACCTGCTCCCACGAAGACGGCGTGGAGGACACACCATCCGAGGCTCGCAGACGGCGAAGCTCAGCAACCTCTGCCATCAACACTGCATTTTGCTCCTTGAGGTAGGTGACCATCTCAGCTTCGAGGGCTCTTTGTAGGCCATCACGGTGCTCGCTCGAACCTTTCTCCCCGGGATCGTTTTGCACGTCAGACCCGGAATGCTCTGGTGTAGGGGGCATAGGTCCCATGGTTCGAACCGGCTGCTGACCCTTCACTCCTTGGACCCCTTCCGGCATGATGCCATGGGTTCGCTTCCCACCGCCCCGAACACGATCTTCTTCCTGCCAGCTTGGGGGTGTGGTGAACAACTTGCCGCTGTCCCCACTCAGGGTCGCCACACCGCGCCCTTTCCCACAGCCACCGGTGCGATGTCCTTGCACCTCCAGGTCGAAGTCCTCGTCGCCATCGTGCGGGACAGGAAGATCCTCAGGCCTCCTATGTCGGAGGAGAGCCTCGCCTTTGGCCGTTTCCGACCACCAGGGATTCAGCGGGGGCAGAGAGTGTGCCCTCTCCATGGCGCTCACGGGTTTGGGCTCATAACCCTCGTGAACAAAGACAACGCGCCCTTTCTTCGAACACAAATGCCTGAAGTCGTGTTGACATGTTCGATGTTCTCACCGAACGGACTAGTAAAGGAGGCTACTAGGACCTTTTCGCGCGCGCGCGCACGCGCCCGCGGGGGGGTAGGAGCTGTGAGCTAGATGTTACCTGATAGTTTTGGTCTGTGCTGCTCTCATTCTGAAACGTCCCCACGTCCCCTGTGGCTCCACTATAAACTAATATGAGCCTCCAGGCATCGAGCTCAGTCGCCCTAAGGATTAGTTTTATAAATGTTGGGTTGTTTGATTGTCTCACAATGGGGCGCGCAGTTCTGGCACTCATCGTTCTGAGGGACTCGAAGTCTATGCCTCCGAATGGCTGGAAGCACATGTCGTGCCAGGCTTGACAGGGTGAGCCTCCAGGTTTGAAATGGACGATAGCTTTTGCCGTGTTCTTGACATTCAACATGAAGTGCATGGCAGCGTACCGAATTGAACGGCTGAGGGTGCTAGAACATTCCTTGTGTGAATGTCTCCTGTTTGTGTGCGTCGCGTCATGCTTTTCTTCTTGGTTGAACCCTATTCAGGTTCGACAGGGATTGAACCTGATGGTGTGCTGGAAGCTCAGGCTTAGGCCCAAAATGCCCCGATGCTATGACCAGGTTTTCGCGAGTCCAACCAAGTTGGCCCCAGGTTTGTCAAGGTGGTGCATCGTTCGCTTCGAGAATCTTTGGGTTTTGTCTCCGCTGACTTGCCTTGGCCTCAAACTCAGTGTGACCCTAGTTAAACCTCAATCCTTTAATTCTTCAGGATTGACTTGCCAAGAGAAAGCATGAAGTCATTCTTCAAGATTGGAGATCAGGCTGGAATAGACCGCTGGCAGTGATTGCATCATCCACCCAATAGAATGTGCTCAGAATAACAACCCAGCAGAAGGGGGAGCAAGATGAGCAAGAACGCTGCGGGCATGGCGGGCATGTTGGTTTGGCAGAGAGCAAGGAGGTAGGGAGACGGGAACTTGCTAAACAGGAGACCATCCGCATGCTGCCGAACTGTTAATAAGCTTACATCACCTGCACCTCAGGTGCATGTGAGGCTCCTGAGCAAATCTGATGGCATGCCGCAAGCTCAAGCTAGATGCGCACTTGGGCCCGAACAACCACACCAGTACAGATGCTCATGACTCATGTCTCAAGATGAGTGCTCTGTTTGGGGACAGCCGCATCGTCTGATTCGATTGGAGGCTGCAGCTGTCGATGAAGGGTGGTGCAAATGATATCAAAGCGGACCTAGAGGCAAGAGAATCACCGACCACCGAAAGATCTGGAGTTGGCTTGTGGATTTGAGACTAACAATTCTTTGAATTCAGCATACTCGCTAGTTTGATGCTGGTGATGGTAACTGGTAGTGTTGGCATTCCTAGCATATGTGTTATATTTATGACACTTGGGAAGACCTCTCTTTGAAATTAATATCTTCGGCCTTTTGCTGTACTGCCACTGTCGTGCGGTCTATGTCAAAGGCCCAGCTGCGCAATTTGGAGACCTCCAAGGCCCGCAAATCTTGTGCGATTGGATTGAGGTATTGTGTTGATTTGGAACCCAGCACGCAGGTGCAACGTGCAGCTCGAAGACATGACCTCTCAGCTTTCGCTTCGATGCTCCTTGACTGCTCAAAGGGCGACGGTGGTGTGGTGCAGAACTGGGTGTCGCATGGAACGGATCCGTGCCCAGGGCCACCTCTCAGTGGATGGATGGCCGCATTGTGCAAATTGCATCCTACGGTGTCTGGGACGTTTGATTCAAGCAGGATGTCTCAAAGATTGGTGAAGGACCTAAAACCCGTTTGTCCACATTGTCTCAGTTTGTTAAAACAGATTTCCTACACATCTTCAGCAAACATTCAAGGATTGAAATTCTCAAGGGCTACCAGTTTGAGACACAGACATAACAAATCATTGTCCACTGAGAGTTTCTCCCAGCTCTCCTGTGTCTTCGAGGTGTTTACGTCAGCGTCGAGCCACCTGGAGGCGAAGTGGTGGAGGGAGTATATCGTTTCCTTCAGACATCTTCAGACCTTCTTTTGTGTTCTATTTCTTTAGACCTTTTTTGTTTATCATTTCCGTAGTGGACAAGCTTTGTCAGGAGACGCACATTGGGGTCTTGCTTGCATCTCAGCAAACTTCCAAGTTCGGTCTCTGAGGAAGGTTTGCCTTGCAAGGTGCATCTATCAGAGTTCTCAGAAGAGATGTCTCAAGAAGCACTTCAACCTGGTGCAGTGATTCCGGCAAGGACCTTGGGGTTCCAGACGCCTGTTGGCACAAGATGTTTGCATTCGACTTCCAGGTCAGAGTAGCCTTGGTGGATCAGGAGAACGGCAGGCGTCTTGTGATGTCTTGTGGTGCCTCGCGTAGAAATTGTTGCGTTCCATTCTTCCAACACGATTTTTTGTGGACAAATTACGAAGCGCGACTAAGCGCGACTTCACAGTCCCACGCATGTGGGGCAGGTTGGCCTTGTCTGCCCGGCCTCTCATGGCAGGCCAGGACAATGACCGATGTGAAGGATGTCAAGACTCCTTTCGCACTTGAGACATGTCTAAGCCGCCAACTTCTTGCAGGATCAGATCCGACAGCTGCGATCTCAGAGACTGCTTTGTGGATGCACCTGTGTCCAACCCATCGCTGCAGGATTTAAGTTCTGCACGCCTGTTGATGTAGAGTTCCCTCCTTAAGGCCTGTGAAACAGGCGAATCACAGTGAACACCCAATCCCTTTTGTAACAGTCATGGAGTGTGGACCGCCTTGAGCTCCTGAGGCCAACGCTGAAGACAGCTTCTTGATGGGTGTCATCGAGGAGGCCCTCCAAGGATGCAGCTGTCTGATGCGCACCAAGCAACAACAAAGAGCCTTCTGGGACTAGGTGGGAAAAACGAAAACTTGAAAATAGACCACTGCACGATTGAGACCTTCAAAGGAAACCGCAGGCAAACTGCGGGATAGCTTTTTCTGATCCACAATTCGCTGAGCCCAAGTGCAAGCCTGATGTGCAATTAGACGAGTGGTGTGGGGCAACCTAGCCCTTTGTAAATTGAAATATGGGTGGTTTGAGTTAGCCGTCCATTGTTGTACGACCAAGTGAGCAAAGAAGAGGCTGAAAGATGTTGGTTTCGGCTTAAGCCGAACTTGTCAGCCCGCAGTCAAACCATGTCAACCCCCCCGAAGGTCCAGAGCGAAGATCTGCAGTGATCAGCGGTCTGCAGGTGCACAGTTATGGAGTGACCCTGACGACTCCCATGGGTCGCGGCCTCCTCTACTCCACGGAGCTGGAAGAATATGTCGAGGCTGTGCCAAGGGGGGGAAACTCCAAATCTTCGAAGAAGAGCAATCTCTGTTGACAAAGCTTGTGGCCTGCTATTCAGATGCAAAGACACCAGTGCTATTTTATTACACAACACAAATTCATTCACTGAAAAAGGAGGGTGTTGGTGCGGTGTTGACCTTTGCTACGGCTCGAGAATGAATCAAGACCTGCAGGATGCGCGTGTTGGTTCATTGCCCCATTTTTGCCAACTCGTGACTAGGGTGTGCCCAAGTTTTCTCCACAAGTGTAGCAATTGGCCCGTGAAAACCAGGTGTTTGAGTTTTCGCGTCTTCGCGGGTTTCCGGTTGTTTCTGACATCTTTGCTGACACAAGTCCAAAACAGATTGATGAGGGTGTGAAGGAAAGGTACCACAGATCCATATGTAGATCCTATATATGTATATGACCTACTGTGTTCACCCAACACTGTCTTCTTGATTTGCAATTCTAAGTCTAAGTTCTAAAGTTCTATAGCATTCAACGAACAGACTGCAAAGCTTCCACTTGTAAGGACAGAAGGTAATGGTTGCAATGGACAATCTTCACCCTCAGACACACACACACATATATATATATATATATATTTGACTGGCAAGGTGAGAGAAAATGGAAAACATAGAGCTTGAAAGCGGTGATCAATGGAATGGGTCAAAGCAAGATCTGGCTCTTCTATGATGCTGGTGACGGTGACCAAGAACGAGAGAGGTGTAGTTTAGTTCCAAAAGCAAAAGAAAAGGCGTGCAATCGAGAAAGATCACTAAGCACGGCCCACTCGCAGGATGCTTCCAGCAAATTTGTGGGAAGCTCAGATGGGATCTCTGGCTGAAAGAGGAGGACTGGACGATTGTCCCGTGTTGTGACCCTTGTGCCTCGAAAAAGACCTCAACATCCTAAACCTGTGTGGGGGTTTCTGTTTTGCGAAGACCTCTTGAGCTTTTTCAGCCCACTGATTCCGAGTGACGCTCTTCACATCTACAGCCTTCTGCTGATTGACTACCTGGGGTCAACCTGAGACCACGCCTTCTTGGGGTGTTGGCTTAGTGTATGAGTGATGGTCAAAGTTGCTGTAGTCGACAATTGACTGGAAATCGCGATAGGGACCCGGGACTTTACTAAACACGGGGGAACGCATTAGAAATTCTCTTGGTCCACGGCACCACACTCCACTTTGGTCACCAAGCCTGTAGTACTTGAGGCTGTTGGAGAAGAATTGCAAGTGCGTGTCATTGGTGAGATGGAAAAAGGACTGTGAACAGGCTCTTTAATGTTTCCAGATGTAATTAGTAATCTCTCCGGTTTTGCAGGACTTTTGGCTTTGTCAATGAAGGTCCCCAAGGCTGGTTTGCGATTGTCCCTGAGCCCAGCCAAGCATTTGGTCTATCAGGAGCAGAGCAAAGAGATCTCTCCGTTTGAGGATGAGGACATTTCTGCAGCCAGAAAGATACGGAACTCATTGGACATCCAACCATTCGCCGCACTAAGGAGGTAAAGTTATGGTAGACAACATGAAGTGGGCACAAAAAGCTTCGGCCTCTTGACTCTGGCTGGAAGCTTTGTGTAAATTTTCTGTATGACTCTTTGCGGACAGGTGCAGCAAACCTGTCAAGCCTTGGCCACTGAAATGCTGTATCGCAAAGCTAGGAAGCAACGAGTTCAGAGTTCAGAGCAAAGGAAAGGAAGTAATCACAAGAAGCAGCGAACAAAAGAAGTCCAATGAAAACAGAAGAAAGCAACAAATACGTGGATGGTTGAAACCAGCAAGGGGAACCAGCTGTAACTCCGAGACAGCAGAAGTCAGGGCAAAGGACGGCAAAGGGCCACCTGAGGCTCAAATTCAAAAAGACAACGTGTCGCCCCTGAACCTTCGGAAGGAGCAAATGACGTGATCAGGATGTGGCTGTAGCAAACTGAGGGTGGAAGATGCGTTTAGAATTTTAGTTCACACACGAAACCAAAACATGTGTATTACTTGGTTGGTCGGTGACAGATTTGCTTAAGGTTGTGAAGTCAAAGGTCAAATACTCTGAAGAGTCAGCAAACACCAGAGGTTCATATATATAAATTCATGTGCATGTCATTTGACCACAGGTTGAACTAGCCTTCCTTCGGCTGCTTGCAGGAATCTCTGCCCACCGCGCAAGACCTTCAGATTCGTGTCTGGGCCCTCGATGTGAGCGTAAGTTGGTGGGTCTCAAAAAAGGAGCACTACGTTGCCCCCCATTCAACAACCTAGAAGCGATGGCCTCCTCCAACCTAATAGCGATGGCCTCCAAATAGCGATGGCCTCCAACCTAATAGCGATGACCACCAACATGATAGCGATGGCCTCCAACCCAATAGCGATGGCCTCGAACCTAATAATGATGGCCTCCAACTTAATAGCGATGGCCACCAACCTAATAGCGAGGGCCTCCAACCTAATAGCGATGGCCTCGAACCTAATAGCGATGGCCTCCAACCTAATAGTGATGGGCTCCAACCTAATAGCGATGGCCTCCAATCTAATACGGATGGCCTCCAACCTAACAGCGATGGCCTCCAACCTAATAGCGATGGCCTCCACCAATAAGTTGCCCCCCATTCAAGATATTCACGTGTCTTTCTTTTGGATCACGTCCTTCAGATCACTTTTCAGTTTCTTATCAACGCTCAAAACCTCTTGCATTAAAAAACTTGCGCAGACGCGCTTGACCGTAAAGTACACCAAGAGAGGCTAGGGTTGGCCTGCTGCCATGAGGCCATGCGAAAGAGGCTGAAAGACTATTTGGGCATATCACCCCAGGAGCCTCTGAGAGCACAGGCCAGGTGTTTCCAAGTCTTCTGACGCAGAAGAGTGGTCTGAGTGGTACTTTGACCTGTGAAGGACTCATGTTCTGCGTCAGGTACAAGCAGAAACCCCCTTTGGACTTCTGCTGGACGTGAGTCATCCTGATGGCAGAGAGAGTGGGCCCAAGGGCTTGCGGTTTTCAGAGCCCTTCGCTGCATGGTCCTAAACATTATGGTAAGCGTGAAGAAAGCTCAAGCTTTACGCTAATGGAGACACTATCAAGAGAGTTGGACGAGGCCATGTATGGTGAACCTGAGGGTGAAAAGCATTTGGGGACACAAAGTGCAGAACAAGATCCGCCCTTTGTTGAGGCCTGCGCAGGGCCTGCTAGTAGGGCCTCCTGAAGACCTCAGGACACCCCTTGCCGGGCAGCAAGCGGCATATATGTGCGCACGGACAATTCAACTAGCTCGACACACAAGCAGATGGACTGCAGACTTGGACATGGAAATTCCTCATACAGGACTGGCGAGCAGCTGGAGGTTTTGCTTTTGTCAGTACGAGCCCTTTTTTGATCCCGTCTTCGGCCATTTCAGCTCTGTGACGTTCGATGTGAGGTCGACACTCATCGTGGAGTCCTCATGGTGGGAAGGCGCTGAAGGGAGCAGCATCTCTGCAGGCGGGCCATCCCGCTTGAACAAGTGTTCGATGACGCCATGTCACTGTCCGCCGGAACGCAGGAGAGCAAGCATCCATGCTGGAGAAAAGAAGCTCTGAATCGCTTACCAATGGTGATTTCATCATAAACGAGGGCAAATCAGTTTTCCCATTCACGACTCACAACCTGGTCCATGTTTTTGGTTGGACTTACTGCTTGGCTTCGCATCTGGCTCAAGACCGCTCTTTTGGCTTCAAACACACTGGCAGTGCCCCAAGAGCTTGGCAGAAGCTGCTCAGCTCTTTTCGGCCGGGCTGGCCCCGTTTTCGTCCTATCATGAAAGGATGGATGACTTCCATGCCGTCAGCTGGCGACCAACATTTGAGACTGTGAAACTCGTGACGATTCTCGAAGCACCCTTGATCCCAATCCATGCGTTGATGCCTGGCCCAAACCACAGGGGCCGTAGATCCACGTTCACTCGTGCAGGCTTTTACCATGCGATGCCAGGAAAAGGTGCGTGGAATTGAGGCGGTCCATTGTTTCCACAGTGGTGCCGCGGAGCCTTGGCGTCGATCCTGGAGGACGTGAAGCATAGGCATGAGTGGAGACGAAAGCGGAACCCGTCGGCCAGGATGGATTTGCAGCTGCGAGCACGGGCGGCAACCCAGGTGGCAGGAGCGAGAACGCTCCCGGAGACCGAGATCCACCCCCAGGTTACGATGGTGAGACCCCGGAGGTGACGTTTCGGCAGTTTGAGAAGCAAGTGGCTTTGTGGGAGAGACCGAGGTGGTGAAGGCCAAGCGAGGGGTGAAACTCCTTCGCCAGTTGACAGGGACATAGCCTGCGAGCAGGGGCTCAAGAATGTGATGGGCAAGTTGAGGGAATACCTCATGCCCCATCTAGAATCTAGAAGTTTCTCTCTCCCAAGGACATTTGAAACAGCAGTCTATGGTCCGCCCAGAGGACAGAAGGACATGTTTGGAGAATACACACAGGAGCAACGGCTGTTGACCTGGGCAGAAGGGAAGTATGGCCGCATAGAGATCACCACATCTCTCCGACGCTTGGAGAAAAAGTCCTCAGAAAGGACAAGGGGAAGAGCACCTATCTCGGCGAGGAGAGCTTTGTCCTTTGTCCTTGACAATGGCCAGGGCAACAACTATGACCTGGAGAACCAGACCTACCAGCTTGTCCACCGTGCACCGCTTTCAGCAAGATGCAGGCTGTCAACTGGGCTCGCGCGCGGCCGGAGAAAAAGATCGAGCTCTTGAAGGTTGGGCGAGAACATCTAGAGCTGGCAGTGGCGGTGCTCAAATGGCTTCGTAGAGGTGGAGCCATCCTATTTGAGCATCCAGACGGTGCAGCTTCATGGCAGGAACCAGAACTTCAATCGCTGGCTGCCCATGCCGGGGTCAAGACCGTGGTGGGCGATCAATGCGTGTTCGGATTGAACGTGAATGGCAAGGGCCCCAACAGGAAAAGGACCAGGTGGCTTTCTAACATGCCCCAGGTCATAGAAGTTTGGGAGTCCGGCGTGATCAAAGCCACTTTCACGGAGAACGGTCTGCCGAGGCTGGCTGGCTCAAAGATATCCAGAAAAACTACGCCAGGAAATAGCCAACGGAGTTCTCAAGTACCTGAACGATCAGGACACCTACGTCCTGGCCACGGAAGAAGCCGAAGAAGACGGTGAAGAAGCTGAAGAAGAAGATCTCAACCCTGCGGAGGAGGAGGAGGAGGAGGAGCCCACGGGAGACTACGAGCCTTCGGAGGAGGAAAAGAAGGCCGTGATGAAAGTGCACGGCCGCAACCGCGGGAGTTCAATAGATTCCTACGGGCTGCTCGAGTCCGAGGTGAACTGGTGCAATGTGCATCCAAGAAGTTCGTGTGCGATGTCTGCGAGGCGACGCGCCAACCCAAAGCGCCAAGACCAACGGCTTTGCCAAGAGCCTATCAACCAAGCCGAGTCCTGGCCTGGATCTTTTCTACGTGCCGGCTCCTGGGATGGCGCATCGCCTGGGTGCAAATCTTTGGGTCTCCATGATGGGGGAGTTGTGGAAGGTAGCTAGGGAGCAGTGCCGCCCCACTACCACAGACAAGAAGACGGAACGAAGAATTCAAGAGAGGCCCTCACCGCACGGGCTACAAGGACATGACGGAGGAGGAGTTCCCCCAGAAGAGGAGCGACCAGCTGAGCGACCTTCCGGTGAAGATCCAGCCACTGAACGTCGGCGAGCTCAGTTAGAGAGCCAGCAGACGACGCCATCGAGTACATCCCGGAGCACGTGGATGAGGATGATCCCCCGGAAGGACAAGAAGAAGGGCAAGTTCCCAAAAGAAGAAAGTCAGTAAACGAACCGGAACAAGCCCAGGATCAGTGAATAGACACCGCCCAGGCTTTCCACATGGCGCGCCAGAGACGCCTGGATGCACTTAGTTGCAAGTTCGTGACGCCCTCCGACGATCAGAGGCCGAGGCCAACCGGCTGGATGACATCCCAGGTCCGACTGCACCAGTGTACCGATGGCAAAGATCACTGGGCCATCGACTGGAGAAGGGAGAGTTGATCCGACGTCGCCCGAGAGAACGGAAGGCCAAATTCGACCCGAAGTTCAACTCAGATGCGCCAAGTCCCCTGAACATGTGGGAAGGCCAAGAGAAAGTCAAAGAAGACCAATGGGTGACCCCAACGGATCGCTATGAGGCGCAATGGTGGAAGGGCAAAACCGTCTTCTATACATCAAGAGCACCGAGGAGGCCAAAACCTACGGGGCAAGACGAAGTGAACGTAGCCAAAGAGAGCGCCCAAGACCGAGCGGAGTGGAAACTGTCTGACCGGTCAGAATGGAACAAGGTCACCCAAAGTGGAGCAGTGCAGGTTCTCGACCTCGAGGAGTCCAGAAGGGTAAGACATGGTAAGACAAGAGTTGAGAGACCAAGGACAAGAAGATCGCATTCCGCCACCAAAATTGCTCGTCGCTACAAGCCAGGAGAACAACCAGGAGAACAACCAGGAGAACCGGCAGTCAAGAAGTCTCGGCTGTGCATTCGAGGAGACCTGGATCCCGACATTCTGGACCTGGAGCGCTTCTCACCGACGCTCAACACGGTGAACTTCAACGTGCAGATTGCGGCCAACGAAGGGCCTTTAGCGCGACCAAAAGCAGATCGTGATGATCATTGCCGGCTGTTTCGGGCTAGTGGACGGCCCGTTGCGTTGGAGAAAAACTCTGACCCAAGACCTCAAGGCTTTGGGCTATGAGTTGTCAGCAGTCGATCCTTGCATCATGAAGCTCTACCAAAGCGATCGAGGTAGATGACCTCTTCACTGTTGGCCACAAAGAGCATCATGAAAAAATGAACAACTGCGCTCCAAGTACACCTTCGGCAAGTACGTGGACCTCCAGAAGGAGAAGGACGGGCGCGCTTTCAACGGCCGACGTATCCGTCAATTACCAGATTGCGGCTTCTTGGTGGGCGTGCAGAAGTTCATCGAAGAGAGGCTTCACCATGTGATGATGACCACAGATGCTGAGACAAGTGCTGCTCGAGCAACGTGTGGTGCTCTGAACTGGCTCAGCCGAGGACGCCCCGACGCTTCTGGGCCTTCGAGTCTGCTGTCATCAAAGCCAAGCCTAACCATAGAGGACATTGTGCACCTCAAACAGGTGGTGGACGAGCTAGAGCTCCACCCTGAGCCTCAAGGTGCAGCCCTTGAAGAAGATGCGGCTGAGCGTTGTGAGCGATGCTTCGTTTGCCAACTGTGGCTTCCACTCACAGGGTGGTCACTCGGTAACGCTCACGAGAGCAACCTACGAGATGGCCAGCTGACGAGGACCAATATCACCGCTTGGAGGAGCGGAAAACTTCAGCGGATTGTGAACTCCACACTCGCGGCTGAGACCCAGAGCATGTCGAGGATTGGCAGAGCTTTTGTGGATCATGGTGATGGTCCAGGAACTCCAGGACTACGCCTTCAACATCAAGGCCTGGAGAAATAGGCTAGAGGGACAAGAGCTCCTGGTGATGACCACGGAGATGGCTCAAAGAATCCTTGGCTGTGGTGGACGCCAAATCGCTCTACGACCACCTGTCGAAACACACAGTGGGAGGACAAGACAAGCGGACCGCCGTTGAGATCCAGATCATCCGCCAGGACCTGAGAGAACTTGGCGGTGAGGTGAAATGGGTAGACCGCCAAGCTATGCGAGGAGATGGACTCACAAAGGTCCTAGGTTCCAATGCCGCTCTGTATGAGCTGATCCGGACTGGAAATTTCAGCGCCCGACTGAAGAACAGATGCAGAGGAGAGCAGATGCACGCCGTGCAGGGCAATCCAGCTCCGAGATTAGACGGATTGGGATCAAAGAAAATTGCGGGGCCTGTGAAACTCGTGACGATTCTCGAAATCCCAACCCATGCGTTGATGAGTTGCTAAAAGGAAGTGGACAGTTGCCTCCTGCACAAAGCTGAGGATGCCTGAATGTTCTTTAGCCAAAACACAGAGAGATCGGACACTTGGAAACGGGGCAATTTGCATGCTGGCTGTCGCTGTCACTTGTCGCTTCAGTCAAGCTGCATTCTGAAGGGTGTTTGACCGCTCGAAAATGCCAAACTGCTGGCGCCTCCGCACCTTTTCCGCAGACCGTTGGCTCAGAGTTGTTTGGTCCTCCGGGTGTCCCCTGGGGTGGACACTCAGAGCCATGGAGTCAACCGGAGGTGACAGCCCCTCCGGGCAGAGCCCTCAGGGCGGACGCTTGAGAGCCGGGCTGCCCGGTCGAGTGGATCCACTGAGTCCAGTGTTTTTTCTTCGCTCTCACTAGTAGTGCACATTTGTGGGTCCCTTTGAATCCGTGTGGTCCTTTTCTTGGTGCGCCATGAACTTGCTGGAAGAGACACCTTTCAACGTTTGAGGTCTTGGAAGATGTAGAGTGTGTAGATCGTCAGGAGCACTAACGGCACAACTAGCCGGTGGCAAAGCTAGGTCCAACTCAACTCGCTATACAAGTCCCCCCAAAGGCCAAGAGCACAGCTGCTTCACTTCGACTTGTGTCTGCCGAATACGGGCTTGTTGGGATACGGTAGGTAGATTGGAGAAACATGGAGAAACTAGACCACCAACTCATTGGTTGGAAAGAGCCCTTCAAGCCATGTCGAATGTCAGATGTTTGTGCATTGGCAGCGCCAAGGACCGTAGGCCTGCACCAGTGACCGTGCCTCTGCGCGCAGCAGCTACCCAGGTGCGGCATGGTGTGCAAGGGCAAACCATCCATGGGAAATAGCTCAGATGTATTCCTTGGTTGTGAGTTTCGAGTTCCCGGGTGGTTCAGGACACCTTCAGTTAGCGGTAGTTCAACGGTGGGGTTCATCGACTGGTTCCAGATGCAGTGATGCATGCTTGATGCTTGACTTTTTGCTCTGTCCTAGTGGCATGGCTGCGTTGACGACGGACAGCCGCACAAGTGGTTGATCAGTATGGAGATTTGTCCGGATATTGGGGTACCGTTTTCTGGACCTGCGGGCTTAACACGTGTTGAATTCTTGTCCATACCTTTTCTCAGAAGTCAACCCTGCTGGCCACACCCAGCTGCCCACGAGTTGGCCTGCGAGTCCCTGTTTCAGCTCGACAAATCTCACAGCGAGAACACCTTTGAGCAGTGGATTATGTCATATTTATGTCAATCTAAGTCATATATCAATATATTTCAATTTTGTGTGAATGATTTGGAGTTTGTAGAAGCTGTCGGATTCACGTCTGTGCTACATCGACCGCTCAAAGCCGAGGTGATTCCGGCGTCACCGGAGTCCCAGGAATCTCCCACCTCCCCGGACAGCGAAGAAACCAAGGAGGATGAGAACGCGGTGCCTGATTCTCCGTCCAGCGGGGCTGCCCAGGGGCCCAGCGATACGGTCAGAACCCCCGTTTTGAACATGTACCAGTGAGGGAGTGTGAAGAGGCTGTGGACAAAGACTGATACACCGTGCATTCATGACGGCAGTGTTTGCCGGTCAGACTGTTGGGGAAGTAGAAAAGAGCTTGGAGGGAGCTTTGAAGATTGCACGTTTCTCTGCCAGGAATTGTGGTGAGAAATACATTTATCGACATCGATGAGAGTGACATGTCAGGCCTGCTGACCAGGGCAGTCAGTTGTTTCAGAGCACTCGATCAGTTTCCTGAGCTCTACTGACTTGGACGCAAAACGGTATTATCCTTCAAGGGTTCCAGGTTATATTTGCTTGTGCCTTGCATGAAATGAAATCATCGAACCAGAGGCTCTGGAGAGCCGGGCTCCCCGGCCCGCGCCGGCAGCGCTCCGGCCTCCCCGACCAACCGGGCAGATCCCTGGGCCGGACGCCGAGCTGAACTGTGGAGGGAAACACCTTCCATGACTTTCATGGTGTCATGATGTGACAGCAATGGCCTCCAACCAAATAGCAATGGCCTCCGACCCAATGGCGATGGCCTCCGACCCAATGGCGATGGCCTCCAACCAAATAGCGATGGCCTCCGACCCAATGGCGATGGCCTCCAACGTAATATAGCGATGGGCTCCAACCAAATAGCGATGGCCTCCGACCCAATGGCGATGGCCTCCAACGTAATAGCGACGGGCTCCAACCAAATAGCGATGGCCTCCGACCCAATGGCGATGGCCTCCAACCTAATAGCGATGGGCTCCAACCAAATAGCGATGGCCTCCGACCCAATGGCGATG